ATTTCTATAATACAGATTTTCTATTTAGTGAGTTCATCATTACTAAATTAACATTACCATCACTATTTACAGGGATAGGGTACTTAGAGGCTAAAAAAATTTATGAAATTCTCATGAAATCAAATGTGGAAAGCCGGAACATATTTGGCCGGCTATCAGGTGCTGCTGTAAGTTAGTTATTCCTCTCTCGGTGTGCATGTTTTGCATGATTGATTTCTGTTTAGATTGCTGAATGAAATGTTATCTTTTGTAGGGTGCTTGGGAGGCAATTGTACGTTCTTTTGAGAAAGATTATATATACCTTGGTGAAGCTGCGCAAATAATAATACAAAATGTGAATTATGAAATGTAAGTTTGTGATCTTCTTGTTTGGTTGGCGGCATAGTTTTGATGAAGAATTTTCTGATCTTTTTGTCTTAATGTGGTTTTTATTTTTGCAAATGTGCAGTCCATATCAGAAAAAACAGGTGCAAAAGATCCAGCAACAACTAGCAGAACTAGAGCGCAAGGAAACTGATATAAAAAGAAGTGCAGCTCTTTCGGCGGCTAAATATGTTGAGGCTTGTCAAGAGCTTGGATTGCAGGTGAGATGTTGGTTCCATTCAGCAATGGTTGCAAAATTTCATAGACGTGGATATAATTATGTGATTGAAGAATTAAGTGGTGTCATTTCTCACTGTAGGGAAACAATGTGAGGGTTGAGCTTTTAGAGACTGCAAAGTCGCTTCCAAGCACATTTAGCAGAATTTTGGAAGTTCTAAATAGTGATACCATGTCGCAGGCGATAGAGTATTATTCCAACTTCGTCAAAGATGTTCATACAGAAAAGGAGGTAAAGACAATGGCCTTTTGTTTTTCTTTCAAATGATTATTGCAACGTTCTTCCCATTGCATGAATATTGTTTTTATTATGCACATTTGAGTCTGATTGGGTTGATTAATTTCGCTACTGAGCTTGTAGATGTAAAATTGCAGAAACCTTCGAGAGCTGTTTTGTTGAACTTGAAAGATATCCGTGAGAATCCCCCTTCTCTGAATGTTTGTGCTGACTCCGAGATCCTTGATTCTTCAAATATTCAATTGGGTTTGGAGGAATCAAACCATGTAAGAGTGGACATGGATGTTGCTGCTGATAATATTGACTGGGATATTTCTGTTGATGGTGCTGATATTGATTGGGACATTGGTACTGTAGAAGAAACAGATGATGGTGGTAATGGTTTGGGTCCTTATGAAATTGTAAATGCCAGTGACATCTCACAGAACTCTTCACCGAATGAAGCTGTAGAATCAGGTGAAGCTCCATTAAATAAAGAGGAAGAAAACGTACGTACTGAGATCTCTGTATCAGAAATTTCTTGGGATATTAGTGTTGAAACACCTCAGGTTGATGCAATCAGTGATGCTAATTTGGCAAACATAAGCTTAGAAAATCAGACATATGTTTTAGATACCATGACTCACACCCCAGAAATGAAGGAAGACAGGAGCCAGCTTTTGGATACAGAATACAGGAATAAAATTCTCGATGATTTATATGAGGTATAGGCTAATTTGTTATATTGTAATGGTAATTTATTTTGTAAGAGTAATATTTTGCATCTTCCTCTTCAAAAAACTAAGATGAATGATCTAGCAGTAACATAGCCCCGAGTAACTCACTGGTTTCTACTTTTGAAACATATTACAATTTTTAGATTAATAGTTGATATTTGCTATTAATGATTCATATTAGATAAAAGCATTTTTGAGTCAAAGATTGGCAGAGTTGAGGAATGAAGAGACCATGTCTTTGCAACATCAAGTCCAGTCAGTTGCTCCCTTGGTGCTGCAGCAGTATACTCCTGATGCTATTGATACAATGTTATCTGATGTTTCTTTGGCCATTTCTTTACTGACAAATGGGAAAACAAGAGACTTGATTATGCTTCTTAACTCTAAAAGGTACTAATAGATAATGTTAATTGGTTTTATCATTAACAGGTGGGCCATTGTTATTTTTTCCTTTTACTCATTGAAACAAAGTAGAAGAGTGGATGTACAAGATAAGTTGGGTGGAATTTCCTCTTATATTGACGAAATATATTGTGTCAGCATCCAATTAACACTATATAATTCTTCTTGTTGCATGGTTTCAATAGTGCTGGTAGTTGTGGTGAAAGGCATGAAAATACCAAGTGATGAATGTCACTGTTTGAGAATTTGCAAAACTCTATATTTAACAGCCTAACCGGTGAAATTGTTTGTCTTGTAATTAGTCTTAAGTAGGAACTTGTTGCTGCATTTTATAATTTTGAAAATTTGAAAGTGCACCTACACTTCACACAAGTGTGTTTGGTGCATAGTAGTCATGAAAGCAAATGTTTTAGTATGGGGATTTTATTTTTGAAAAATAAAAAAAATTATTCTGGGAAAGTAGGTGGAGGTTCTTAGTTGAGTTGCTGAAGGTTGTTGTTCTGGTCTTCATGGCTATTGTAAATTCATTGTTTTCTCCTGCATTGATTTTCGTTTGCTAACTGTTTGTTAGGTGCTGTATTAAAAGTAGCCATGTTTTTTACCAATGTGTGTTTAGTCTACTGGTACTCTTCCAGAGGAGAGGGAATGAGATCTTCAGTTCAAGCTCTGCTCTTGTCATCCAAAGAAACAATATAAAAGAGTTAGGCATGTTTTTCGTCATGATGAGTTGTCATGCTTAATGCAAATGTGTTATCTTGAATTTCAGATATCTGGACAGACTAGTCAGTACATTGGAGGCAAAGAAGCATCATGAGTTGAAATTAAAAGAGGGGTTAAAAGATGTGGCTGCTAAACGCATGGAACTTCACAATTCAATATCTTCTTCATGGCCAAAGCAGGTGAGTTTTCGTCAGATAATAAAATTGATTCTGCTTCCAGGAAAAACAAAGAGAGCATTTATTGTCATATTGATTGTTTGTGTCGCTCTCATACCTTTATTTTGAGTTGCTCTCATCACCTTTCACAGACTCTTCCACATTTTCTGCTTTTTCTGCTTCAGCTCCTTTCATTCTTCAAAATTAGAATAAAAAAAGAAAATTGCATTTAGTTTTTGTTTGGGTCCATGGTACATGCTACACCTTTTTAATGCTTAAAGTTTTGTAAATGTGAAGTTTTTTGTTTACTGACTTGTATACCAACATGTAACATGTGCATGACTTCATCATTCTTGAATCTACAAACAAAATGTTCGTCTTCACACTTGTCTTTGTTTATTGATGGTCTACCTCATGTAATGCACAACGGAATTATTTAGGTTTAAAGTTCAAGGCCGCCTTTAGTTTAACACACTAAAACCAATTTAAGTTTCATAAAACATAAACTATTTCATTAATTTCACATGTTTATAAATTAACTTATCAAAATTGTAACTTGAGTTTACAATTTAGACTTTAAACTCTAAATCAATACTTATAGTACATACTTTGACAAACTCGGCTCGATCCTGGTAGCATCCTCGATGTTGCACATGCCATTACACATCAGTAGCTTATCTATACACCACAAGACAACTATGAGCTAATGCTCAGTATGTGTTATCATACATGAATGCAAGTATATTCATTTTTCATGCTGCTGAAATACATTTTCTGTGATTCGAGTGCACCTTGCTGAATGTCTAGATTCAGCCCTCATTGAAAACTATCTTTTATGAAAACCATAAAAGCACTAGACATATCTAATCTTTTTCTCACAAAGAGTGTACACTAGATCATTTTCTTTGTGGGCCATCTTTGAACATACTAAGAGCATACATTAGATCATTTGTCTTTGTTTATTGATGGTGGTTAATTCCCAAGCATAACCGTTTATTATATAGCAAGATTTCAAAATCTTTGTCATATTTCCTCTATAATTTTTTTTGTAGGGAACAGAAGTGAAAACAATAAAAGAATCCTCGTGGTAACTTGACACACACACCCACACGCATTAGTGATGTTATTTAAGTCTCCGCAGGGTGGCACTTTTACTCTTGACTCCTGAACTACCAGGGGAATTTACAAGAAATTTACTTTTTCCTTGCATTGATGCGTTCTAGTTTATTTTCAAGATATTCGAGGCATATGATCTCGTTGCATATATTTGATGAACGGTTTTTGGATAACTGTACTGAACCTTATGGTTTAACCTGGAATTTAGATAAAAATAAGAGCTCTCAGATGCACTCAAATCATTTTCTTGGGTGAAAATTCTTTGTAAAAGAAACTTAACTGGCCAAAGTTGGTTGTTGAGTTTTTTTTTTTTCCTTCTAAATAAAAAATTGAATAGTTGTTGTTTCAATTGCAGGAAGCAGCTCTTGCAAAAACAAGGGAGCTGAAGAAACTTTGTGAGAGTACACTTTCGTCCATGTTTGATGGAAGACCTGTTAAGATAATTGGAGAGATCAATGCCTTATTGAGTAGTGGAATTAGTGCATAAACTTTAGAGAGACTTTTGTCTCATGCTGTAAACCAGAGCATCACAACCCAAAAATAGCATTTTGCTATCACTTTGTCAAATTTCAATCATAATGTTTGAACATGAACATATATTGTGAATTTGTTCAGATGGGTTTCTACGGGCTCTTCGAAGAACAAAGTGGAGGATTTTGATATGTTAGTGATAGAAGTACGATCACAAAAAATATTGTTGCTTCCCTGAATTTGGTGACAAAGAATTAGCGCTAAACCTAGTGTATGGATTATCAAAGTGAATTTTATTGTGACTATCAATTTTTTTTTAATAGCTAGTTTACTTGTGTTTGAGTAATGTTAAAATATAACATGCAAAAACCTTAATTGTAAAAACTTTCTTGATAAAGGTGCTAAAATGCATTTACCATTACGTTACAAGGACCAAAAACTTCCAACAGAATATTCTGGATGCCTTCTTTGTAAGGACTAACTTTAAGCAATGATGCATAATGTATCCAAATCCCCACTTTAATATTGCATCTCCTGCGGCACACGTGTAGAAATCTCCACCAGACGAGAGAAAATTACAATTTACTTTGAACTTGTTGCAAGAAGTGATTGATGGTGATTTTTTAGGCAGAACTCAAGATAAATTTCTTGGAATGAAGATACTCTGTCACATTAAGAAAGATAGGAAAAAAAAAAAAAAAAGAATATGCCGTATTGTTAGTAAAAAGGGATTGAAAAAAATTCTTAATATTCATAGTTATATTATGTTATGAAATAGTAAATGTTCATAATAAATATCTTTAATTAATTTTATTTTTATAATTATTTATATATTTTTTAATGTAATTCAATTTACTAATTCATGCATGAATGTATTTATTTCTCATTAAATTTATAATCTAGAACTTTATTTAATATTTACGTATAAGAAGATGTTTTAAGTGAATAAATATATATAATTATTATAAAATAATAAATATCTATGATCTTTTTATTTTTATTTTAACTACTAATTATATTCTTTAATGGAATTCAATTTACCATTAGCATGCATGATGACAAAGATTTGAAAGATTGGTGCATTTGATGTAACATTTCATGAACTTTTTCTAGTCCTTTTCAATTATCTTTTCAATCCTAAAACTTATAAATATAATTGATTGTTTATTAGTTAAGTGTGTTTTTGTAGAGAATGAGAGAATTGTTTTGGAGTTGCTATCACTTGTATTTATTTTATTTCATGGTAAATTTATTTTTCTATCATTTGTCTTTTCAATCTTTTATTATTATTATTCAAAACATTATTAGTATAAAACTCTAACCAACCGAGATAATAGACCATGAGGTATGTATTTATCAAAATACTACATCATTTGTTTTAATTATTGGATTATTTTTTTTACACGAGTGCCTTACCAAAAGATTTAAATTAACTAAATCATGAAGAGGTATGCATCTAATTTATTCTTTACTTTAAATCTAATGATACGTAGAGTATATATTTGAAAAACTTAAATGATCTAATATATAGAATCTAATGATCTAATGTACGTTGTTTAAAAAGATTGAATTTTATTATTATGTTTATTCTTATTTTCTAACATTGTTATTATATCTTGTATTATAGAATTTTTATTATCAAATCTCACAAAACTTGATTTTGTGGCCCTTGACATTTCGGGTAACAATTATTGATCATGGGTGTTTAATGCTGAAAAAATATTCTCTACTTATCATGCCTCGAATATACTCTTGCAACAACAATATCGAGAAAAGGGTTTTAAGAAATATTGTAAATTAATTTTATGTTTGTTTATGATTGAATAAAATAAAGAACTATTAATGAAAAATCATGAATCTCGTCCAACTAGTTCTACTCCATTTTCTCAAGTGAACATGACAACTTATGACAACTTTAGACGTGAACGTGATCATGGCCATAATAGTTATCTTGGTTAAAATAATTATTGTTATAATCATCGGGGTCATAATAATACACCTTACCATAAAAAAAAAGACAAACTATAGTGGCTATAATAATGAACTAGAAGTGGACTAACTATAGTAGTCATAATAATGCATCTCACTATCAAAAGTGGACAAACGATTAAGAAAAATATAAAAGTGGATCGCGTGAGCATTCTGAAAATAAATGTTATTGGTGTTGCATAAAGAGACATTGGTCGTATACATCGTCGTATGTCGAAGCACTTCGTTAAGCTTTATTAAGCCTTGTTGAATATATATATATGCAAATTTTATATATTAAAATAACATTTTTGACAATGATTCTCTTGATGATCTTGGTAATTTGACACGCTTAGATGTTACCGATTTAATTGAAATCGGTAACCTCTAAGTGTGTCAAATTACCAAGATCAATTTCAAGGAAAAGATTATCAAATTAATGATGGTAATTGAAGTTAATGATTTATTAGCTTCTCCGTTTATAAATAAAATGTTTTATATTTTGTTATAATTTTTATTACATAGTGATAGTTACAATTATTTTTTTGCTATATATATATATATATATATATATATATAAAGTTTTGTATTAATGAAGAATATATGGATACCAAGTCTATAATATTTCTTGATTTCTTTGTACCTAACTACAACAAGGTCGAAGTTACTAAAATTCAGTATTTAACCATTCGATTCGATAGCCTCTCAAATTGAAGACTTGGTCGAATGGCTCTCTTGCCAAACAATCAAGTTATTTCTTCTCATTAAACCTTAAAACATCACCATTTAATTCAATAATACATAAACATACATATTTCACTATAGCTCCTATGTTGAGCGAATTTATCAAACCTATCTAGCCTTTTCATTTTATCAATTTTCTCTTTATTTTTAAGTCTCAAATAGGGTTTATACATTTTATCAAACACCTAGGATGGATCAATTTCCTACAAAATAATTTTCCCTAATTCTTTCTAGTCATGGCCAAATGTTTCATCCCAATGAACTCATTCCGTAAACTTCTCCTTCTCTCATTTAATACCCAACCATAATTATCATACTCGACCAATTACACCAAAGCCCATTCATTTATTCAAATCACAACAATCACACGGTTTAAACATAAATCCCTCAATTCACAACGACAACAATTAATCACTTATCCAACATCAATACAATGGTCAATCATCATTTAAACACTTGCTATAACATTACAATTGTCAATCATCCATCAATTTCATAATATTCATTCAAATATCCAATTATAAACCCTAGGTTTCACAACACACAATCTCAAAATCAACACTTACAAACTCTAAGTCTTGTAATGAGTTGAAGTTACATTTACCTTAGGTTTGATTGATGATGAAATCACCTTAAACACCCCCAAAATCACCCTTTTTTTCTTGCCCAAAAATTTGGCCAAAAAGAGCCCCTCTCCCTTTTGAATGGTTTACTCCTCCTATTGGCCAATCTTACTTCCTTTGATCAATTCCAACTTCTTCCTTTGGTAAATTTTGGTTCTCTTTGGCTTTATCCTTTATGATTTGGTATCTCTTGCTTTCTCTCTCTCAAAGATGGTGGAGGAAAAAGCTTTAAGTTCAAATGGAATGCTCCCCCTTCTTATTTTCTTTTCTTATCCAAATTATTGGTCCAAAATGTCCGGACATATGTCCTAAAATGAATATTTTACACTTAAATATTTTAATTTAAGTGAAACACCTAATTAAGACATTATTATTATTATTATTTATATTAATACCTATTTAGGTCATTAATTACATTTTAAATTATGAGTTATACATGAAAATTATTTAATTAAACTATATCTTCTAATCTTTCACTTGTCATTTACTTTACTATTTACACATAACACTTAATAAAAATTTAATGTGCAATAAAACATGTATCATAAAAAATTACAAGCATGACATGAATATAATTAACAAAGAAAATATTCACCAAAAGCATAGAATTTAATTTTGAGCATTACATAAAGAGAGATAAAAACATGAGGGACATGAACTCCTTATCGGTGTTATTGTTGACGTGGATGGAAACCTTCATAAAAGGGAGGTGACCGGGTGAATAGCCTTTCTTGTTTCCTAAAACATCCTATAACAAAAAACATTATTATACTATAAACTAAAGAAAAATGATTTTTTTTATCGTAGCAAAGAATAGTAATGAACAATAATAAAACTATTTATTAATTACTCGTTCATTACCGTATTTTAGTTTTTTTTTTTTGCCAACGCTAAAGCATTCTTTCCTTTTTTTTTTTTTTTTCGTTTATTGTTCATTTGAACAAGTAAATAGCCCCCCTTCCTTTTTTTTTTTTTTTTTAACTTTTCGTCCGTTTATTATTCACATGAACAATAAATGGTCGCCCCCTTTTTTTCCTAAACATTGAATTGTTTTTTTTTTGTTTTTTTTTTTAATTTTCGTTTCTTAATAATGTTAGGTGTTAAAACTTTAAATGAACCAACAATTGATTAGGTGTTAAATTTTTTTTAAAAATCAACAATTTATTTCCTTTATTATTTATTTCTAAAATTTAAAATATCTACTTTTTCTTTTGGTGTGGCCATTTTTTTATTTCCGTTTCGAAAAGTTAACAGCTTTTTTTTTTTTTTTCGTTTCAGAAAAAAATTTGGGTGTTAAAATTTTAAAGGAAAGAACAATTAACTCGGGTGCTAAAATTTTAAAGGAACTAAAAATTTATTTCCTTTATTATTTATTTCTAAAGTTTAAAATATCTAATTTGAAAAAATAATGTTTTTTTTCAAAAAAATAATTATGTCTATAAGCATATGCATATTATATAAAATATTTCTATCACATAATATAATTTATTAATTAACAATTACATAAGATGTATTTCTAAAAAAAAAAGAGTACATATATTATAATAAAGAATTTTATTGCTCATAGTTTGTCATTTATTACTATTTTCATTAATTTTTCATTTCTTTTAAATTCTTATCCAATTAATTTAAAATTATATTTACTCATAGTTATGATTTATTTTAATATTATTCATCCAATTAATAAAAATTAAATTCACATTTTTCAACATGAAATAAAAAAATATTTGTTCAATTCTATGTAAGCTTTTAGTAATTGTTATTTTTATTTTTGACACAATCTTATAAAATACTAAAGCTTTTTTTTAAAAAAAATTATTAATTTTATTTTTAGTTAATAATCCATGGATTAACAAGGATAAATCCTTTTTGTAAAGAAAAAATTATAAAAAACATAAATAAGAAATAGTTAAATATAAAATTTTTGATTAAAAAATTATAATTATTTTTTTATCTTTGATTTCATATATTGTTATAGATTCACATTATAAAACAGATTATTAAACAGAAATAATGTTTTTAAATAATTTTATATATTTTATCAAACTCTGGACATAGAAGGAGTCAAAAACCTTGTAAGTTTTTAAAAAATCTTTCTTATCATTTATTTCGTAGATTCGAAATAAAGAAAAGAATTTAGAAACAGGGAAGTCGTAGATCCAGGCTGAATTTCAAAATGTGGATTTGTTTGTAATTAGAAAAGCTTGTACAATCTACGGAAAGCTAGTTAGTTATTAGTGATAAAAAGGGGAAAAAAAAAGAAAGTAAGTTTAGTGCAATAAGAGATTAATATGAAGGACTAATTTGACCACTTCTTGAGACATTAAAAAAAAATAAATTCAAATTTATATTAATAATTTAATTTATTTTATATAATTTGATATTAATAAAATTATTATATTTTTCAAAAAAAAAAAAATTATAGTGGTCATATATATATATATATATATATATATATATATAGATTATCTGTTGTATAATTGAAATTGTGTAGATTGTACATGCTTTCTATAATTATTATTTTTGTAATTGTAAGCATTCATAAGATGGAATAGATCAAAAGAAAAGAATTGGGAGTTTTGATAATAACAATAATAATTATTAAAAAGTCATGTTTTTTGAAAATTAGACTTCTTAATTCAAGGAAATCTAGATGTTATTGTGCAGCCCAAAATCCAGTGGGTCTCCCATTTAAGAAGAAATAAAGTAGTGTTGTCACCCACAAAACATGGAAATGTAACGCCGAACTCCTGAAACCGATAATTGGTAAGAAAAGGAGAAGGAAAGCAGCAGAAGAGAGTGAATTTAGCAGCAGTGTTATAATTAGAGTTAAAACAACCAACTCTCCTCGCTCCTCAAGTCCGTCTTTTGGTGTCCAATTGCCAAACCTCTCTCTCAAGATAGTAAGCCATTTTACTTTTTGTGCTCATTGGTCTGTCTTGTTTTAGTACAATTTTTTTCTCCTGAATATGTTACATTTGTTAGTTCTAGGGTTTTAAAAGTTTGGTCTTCTTGAGAGCTCCTGTTGTGTGTTTATATGCTTGCTAGCAGCTCTGTTTCAAGGGTTTTCTCTGCTTTCATTTTTCTTTTATTTAAGCCAGGGTTTTGTTTAAGGTCTTTCACTTAATAAAGAGAGCCTAACAGGCCAGTACCAATCATTTTTGCTGTAAATAATTTATATCACTAAACCTGTAAAAAAAAAAATCACAACAATGATTTTGATATATATATATTGTATGGTTGTTTACTGGTGAATTAATTTAATGGATTCCGTTGCCAAGTCTCAGTGTTGTGATGAGGACAGAATCAGAAATCTCCCTGCCCATGTTGTCCATCACATTCTTTCCTTCCTCTAAATGGAAAAACTGCTCGACTGTTCCTTACCTCTAAAAAGCACCGAGAGCTATGCATATCCATTCCCGTTTTGATTGTTGATGGCATTCAATGCAGAAGTGAAGCCAAAAGGTCGCAGTTCATCAATTTTATGGATAGGTTCATTTCTCTGCGTAAAGGAATGGAAACAAGACAAATTACCATTCCTTGTCATTTGAAAATGACAATTCTGATGATGAGTATTGTGTTCTTACGTGGCTGAATAATGCAATAGAATGCAAGCTTCAATTGCATGATCTTGAATTTGTCCTTGATAAGGAGATTTTCTTCTTGCCGCTTGGTGTTTTTCTTTGTGAATCATTTGCATGGAGGTATTCTCAAATTGCCTTCCACAGATGGATGTTGAAAGCTCCAGTCTTTATCTTTACAAGGTGTTAGGATGTTCAATCAGATTTTTGGGGAATGTGTTTCATCTTTCTGCAAGCACCTTAAGCAATTATTCCTTGTAGACACTCATGGTATAAAGAACATTAGCATCAGAAGTTCCAACCTTCAATATTTGGAAATTATTACTCCAGCAAGCTGTGAAAGTGATGGTGTATTATTAGTGTATCAGCTGAGATGTTTAAACTTATGCGATTACGCAGGAGATTTAATTCCTTTATTGAAACATCATTCAAAATCTTTGCACCGAATCTTGAAAAGTTTATATGGAATGGATCCATTGCGAGAAGCTATTACTTGGGGAACTAGAAGCATCTATTCTATGCTGCCTCCAAGTTTTATGTTACTGTAAACAGCCATGAGTTTTTTTCAGCAAGAGTGGTTTACTCAATCTCTGTCCCAGCATATGCGCTGTCAAACGTCTCTGTCTGCAAGATACAACTGTTATGGTAAAACAATTGATTTTACTCTACTTACATGTAGAAAATTAGTTATATTTTATCAGTTGCTCAGCAAATCCAATTTAGGCGTGACTGGTGTTGTGGTAGAGTTGGCAAAAACAGGTTTTGGACTGCAGACTAAAAAAAAACAGATTTTGGGTGATCGGTTACCTTTTGTAACCCTGATTTTGCTATCCCAAGAATAGTAAACAGCATTCATCTTTAGCTTTGGTTCACTATGGTTCAACCCTATATACACCCAACATTCTTTTGGCATTCTTAGATTTTCAACCAGGGAGGGAATATCTTCGTTGGTTTAAATGACTTTGAGGACCAGGCATTGACAATAGGTTTTGGTTTAGGGTTTTTTCTTCTTCTTTTTTTCCTGAAAATTTTCAAGTTCTTAAATTTCCTTCCAATTTAATACTGATCCTTAATAATTAGAATAGATTGTTAATTATGTTATAATAACACTGAATAAACTCTTCGAGGAATCCATCAATGGTGAGATTAAAAACAACTTTCTAAATTATTGATTACAAAATCGACATTTCAATTAATGTATTGGCATCTAAAGAATTGATGATCATCTGTAGTCTTAGTTGCACCTCGCACTACAGCTACATCTTGACTATTCGTGTAATACATGCATAATGCTTGAGCATCTGGTTTTAATTGCATGCATTACATGCATGGATAAGGTTTGATATTTGGTACGATTAAGGCTGCCAATGCCTTTTCTATGCAACTTACATTTCTTGTTATTTTCGCTAAAGATGTTACCTGCTTTTCATATTGTGAAAAATTACTTCCAACCTTTTCAAGGCATCCGAAGAAAGGCCTATCATGGACAGGCCTTCGAATTTTCTGTGGTCATGAATACAAATAAAGGTGGCAGTTTTTCTAGATTGTCATGGAGAAATGTTATGCTAGGATAAAAAAAAATCTACTGACAGCCAAACTTCAGGCTGAACGTTAGCATACATATTTTATTTGCAGCAAATCATCTGCCAGAGATATTATCCTACTAGCTAATCAACTTTGTTGATCCACATTCAATGTCTACTGTTACAGCTGCTGTTAATCTAGACTGCACACCGGTGCTAGGTAATCTATGACAGTTTGTGTATTGTTACCGGCAATTTCAGTGATGAATTGATCCCAGCCATAGCTTGACTTCTTGAAGGGACGCCTAATCGACAGAGACTATGCATAAGACGCCCTATGTTTGGTCCGAAAATAGTATGCTTGCATTTCTCTCTCTCTCGCACAGACAACACACACACACACACACATTCACATGCATACACATAGCTATATGCACATTAAGGAATTGCAATTTATGATCTCCAAAGTTTGAACCTGATGTTAAAATTTCAACCTGTGTTTTGGTTGTAAGTCCAAAATTTACCATTCCACCTGATGATGGGCATCCTCTTATGTTGTAGGGTAGGGAATAGAGAGAATTATTATAATAAAATTATTTTGATTTTACCTCCATTTTGCTTCTCTCTCTCTATTTAATATCAGTCAACAAATCTCTAGCCTTCACAGGCATTTGGTGTTTACTGAAGGGTATTGGGAATCTCAAAACTTGGTGTTTGTTCACCAACTGAAAGTGGCAGCATTAGAGTTTTCTAATTCATAAGGTTTTTGCTCAAGCATGCCATATTTCTGGAGGAGATTGTGCTTTTCATCTGAAATCAGTAAAGTTGTAAATGATTATGAGAATATTTCTTCCGTTAAAGTAGTTCTCTCTCCAAATCCTTCGATAGTTTGTAAGGACAACATGCAAATGCACAGAAACCAAACACAATAACCTCTTCATGTGTAACAATGCAAGTGATATCTAAAGGTTGGCTGGCGCGATATTGAGGAATGAGAACTTTTAGAGCTTCAGTTTTTCTTTCTTATACATATTGGGCTTTCGGATATCAAAGATCAACTTGATATTAAGCTTTTTTAAATTTCTAATGCAAGCTATTCTTTGTCCTTTTCTTGTGTGTGCTTGTGAAATTTGGTGTGATATAAATTAATTTACTTGTGATGTCTGATTTTAAGCTTTTGGATTGTAAAAGACCATTTTTTTTCCCCTGAAAATAACATCTTCACGTTGCTTTTTTTTGTCCTTCTTTTTCACATTTCTACTATAATGTTTGGACATTAATAGAGTTTGAGACTCCGTCTTTGGCTGTGCTTCTCTTCAAGAGAAATGCATATCTGCACTCTTTTTTTGTTTTAATTAGATAGATTTTGCAATGTCTCTTTGACTATGTTGAAGGGCTGTAATCTGTTGGTGATGAAGAATTATCTATCTTGCATCTACTTAAGATAGATATTCTTTGTTCTTTGCTTTGGCAACAAATGTTGGATACGACAGGGAAGTTTTGGGGAAAAATTTGATGACATGGTGCAGCTTTTATCGAGGGTTGCTTGTTTGAGGAATTTATCACAGTTGTCATGGTACAGGGAAAGGACTTCAAATACATCCCATCCTTTTCTTTTCTCGTGTTTCCTGAATCAGCTTGAACATTGGCATTTTAACATCTTTCTTTCTTGAAACTTTTGTGGCAATTTCAGAGGTGGACGGTGGGAAGTTGCACTCACCTTTTTTCTAACAGGATCTGGGTAGAGGTGAACAGAGGGATGTTAAGTCACAAAAACTATCCCTTTTTTTGGGAGTCTATGCTCTAATGTAACATATCGTTATAACAAATTAGTGCATTCACAAAAAGAAATATTTTCTTGCATCCTCCTCAAGAATTCGAACTAGAAGCAAAGCCTAACTAGATCAAGTTCCTTAAGAGTATACCAAAATTAGATTGAACAGCTATGCCGGCTAATATATGAAACAAGGCCTGATTATCACTGCAAGAGGGAGTAACAATAAGTGGATAACGCCACTCTCTAGACTAATAAATCACATTTAGGCTAAGAGTAATTAACAATAACCTAATCGTTAGCCTTCGAAAAGACACCAGCAATTGGAATTTTGGATTTTAGGTCTTTAGGGTTATAACCTCCAACCCTAAAAAGAAATAGGACAGGATTTAGAATGGAAGAGGACTAACATGGTCAGGTAACCCAAAACTTATTGGGCCTTCCATTTAGCAGAAATAAAATAGCCCGTTGAATTTTAGCCCTTCAAAACGGAAATGTAACGGCAAATCCCCCCAACTAGAGATCATTTAAAAGAAAAGTAAAGGGAAACACTAGAAAAGGGAAGTTGGCAGCAGGTTTATGATCATAGTTAAAACAGCCACCGACTCTCGTCATTTCCAAAGTTTATCTTTTGGCGGCCAATTGCTAAACCTCTCAGTCAATCAAGTAAGCCATTTTACTTTTTCTATTCATTGTTTAGTTACCATTTCTTTATCTTGTTCTCTTTCTATTTTCTCCTTAATTTGTTGTGTTTATTTCTTTAGGGTTTTAAAAAGTTTCTATTCTATGTCTTGAGGGCTACAATTATTTTTCAAATGCTCGCTACCAGGCTCTGTTTAAAGGGTTTTTTCTGCTTTCATTTTTCTTTTTATTTAAGCCAGGGTTTTGGCTAACGTCTTCCACTGATAAAAAGAGAACCCAGTACCAATCATCTTAGCTGCAAATGATGTATTTCACTGATTCTGTTAAAAAAAAAAAAAAAAGAAGGATTTTTTTATTTCACTTTAATGATTTTTTTTTTTTTAATATGTGGATGTTTACAGGTGAATCAGTTTAATGGATTCTGCGAACAAGTCTCAATTTTGTGATAAGGACAGGATCAGCAATCTTCCGGTCCATGTTGCTCATCACATTCTTTCCTTCCTCACAATGGAAGAACTTGCACGAATGTGCCTGACCTCAAAAAAGCACAGAGAGCTATGCATATCGATTCCTTTCTTGACTATTAATGGCATTCCATACAGAAGCTCAGCCAAACGGGCTCAGTTCATCAACTTTATAGATAGGTTCCTTTCTCTGCGTAACGGAATGGAAACGAGACAAGTTACTATTTGTTGGTCATTTAAAAATGGCAATTCTGATGATGAATATCGTGTTCTTACATGGCTGAATCATGCAATAGGATGCAATGTTAAATTGCTTGAACTTGAACTCGTCCTTGATGAGGATGCTGTTTTCTTCTTGCCGCTTGGTGTCTTTCATTGTGATTCCTTGATGGAATTAAAAGTGAATTTGAATGGAGGTGTTCTCAAATTGCCTTCCACAGATGGAATTTGCAACATCCAGTCCTTGTCATTGAGAGGTGTTCAAACCTTCGATCAGAATTTTGGGGAATGGGTTTCATCTCTCTGCAAGCAGCTCAAGCTATTATCCCTTGCTCACGTTCATGGTATAACGGATATTAGCATTGAAAGTTCCAGCCTTCAAGATTTGACCATTATAGCTCCATCAACCAGTCAAAATGATTTCTGCAGAATTACCATATCAGCTGAGATGCTTAAGAAAATGCGTTTAGACTGGAGATTTAATTCCTCTATTGGAAAGTCATTGAAAATCTATGCACCCAATCTTGTAACGTTTTCATTGTATGGATCCATTGCGAGCAGCTATTGCTTGGGGAACTTGAAGCATCTATTATATGCTTCCTTCAAGTTTTATGGTCCTGTAAATACAAATGAACTTTCCAGCAGTCAGAACATACTCGAGCTCCTTCAATGCATATGCACAGTCAAATGCCTATCTTTGCAAGATTCAACTATTACGGTAAAACAATTAATTTTACTTTACTTAAATATAGAAAACTAGTTTTATTTCGTCAGTTGGTCAGCAAATCCAATTTAGGTATATCTGGTTGCTGTGATAGAGTTTGTAAAAAACAGATTTTGGTTTCCCAGTTACATTTCCGTGACCGTAATTTTGCTACCAAAGGATAGTATAAAGCGTTCATATTATGGCTTTAGTTCCCTAAGGTTCAATCCCATATAAACCCTAGTATTGTTTTGGCATATCTTAGATTTTCAACCTGGGAGGAAATATCTTCCTTGATTTACATGATTTTGTAGACCTGGCATTGACAATGGGTTTTGGTTTAAGATGTTGTCATTTTCCTTTGAGTTTTCAAGTCCGTAAATTTCTTACAAGTCGTTACTTAGAATATATAGTGTTAATTATGCTATAATCACACTAAAAAAAAATTGTCAAGGGATCCATTTATTGTGATTGACATCTAAAAACAACTTTCTAAAGGATTTGACTAAAAAATTAACTTTTCTTTTAAATGTTGGCATCTAGAGAATTGATGATGATTTATGGTATTAGTATTGACATCTAGAGCCGCATCTTGGTGGTATGCGTAATTAATGCATGGGTCTAGTCCTAAATTGCATGCATTACATGCATGGGTAAGGTTTATATTTGCTACACTTGTGACTGCCAATAGCATTTTTATCTAACTTAAAATTTCTTATTAGTTTACCAAAAGATATTACCGGCTGCTTTTCATTTTGTGGAAATAGCCTGAAGGAATGCCTATCATAGAAAGGCCCTTGACATTTTCTGTAGTCATGAATACGAATCATGGTCATAATTTCTCTAGTTTATCATAGAGAAATGTTATGCTAGGATAAAAAATTACTGTCATCGAAATTTCGGACTGAAAGGTAGTATGACATATTTCATATGCAGCCATTCAGATGTCAGAGTACCATCCTACTAGCTAATTAATTTTGCTGATCCAAATTAATGTCTACTGTGCAGTTGCTGTTTAAATTAGGTTGCACACTCGTGCTAAACAATGTACAGTGGTTGTATATTACCACCAACAATTTAAGTGATGATCTCATCCCTGCTATAGCTTGCCTACTCAAAGGAACTCCAAATCTGAAGCATCTACACATAAGACGGCCTATTCTCTTCTCAAAAATAGTATGTTTACTGGTCTCTCTCTCTCACTCATGCGTTTGCATACACATGCAGTTTATAAAATTATAACAAGACAGCTCTTTTTATGATCTCCAAAGTTTGAACCTGATCCTAAAATTTTAACCTGCATCTTTTGGTTGCAAGTCCAAAATTTACCATTGCACTTGACAATGGACATTCGCTCAAGTTATAGGAAGAACATATAATGACATTGTTATGATTTTACCAACTTCATTTTCATACTCTTCTTTTGATTTTTTCAGTCAAGAAATCCCAGGTCTTTTGAGGCGTATGGGTTTACTAGAGGATATTGGGAATCCCAAAACTTGGTGTTTCACCAACTGAAGGCAGCAGTAATAGAGCTTTGTAACAAAGGGGTCAATGAGTTGGAGTTCATAAAATTTTTGCTCAAGCATGCTACTGTTCTGGAGAAGTTGACTGTCTTTGATCCACCATGTTTTTCATCTGAAATCAGTAAAGTGATAAATGATTATGAGAAGGTTTCATCAGCTGAAGTAGTTTTTGCTCCAAAACCTTCAAATACTTTGTAAGGAGAAGCTAAACTTAGTAACCTTTTTATATGTAACAATCTAGAAGACATTTAAAGGTTGGCTTGCGCAATATCAACGAATGGGAACCTTTAGAGTTTCAGTTTGTTTATATATAGGGCTTTCAGGTCTCTATACAACTTGATGTTAAGCTTTTTAAATTTGCAATAAAAGCTTGTCTTTTCCCTTGTCTTGTTTGTGCTTGTGAAATTTGTTGTGGCATAAATTTTTTACTTGTGATGTTTGATTTTAAGCTTTTGAATTCTTTCTGTTGAAAACTTGGGTGTGGCAGCTTGCAAAGTTAAGGACTAGTATTTTGGCTGTCAGTCTGTGTTGAATCTTGTGTTTTTGCCTTGCATCTGGAGAGGGGAAAAGGAGTCAGTTGGTGGTTGATGAATTTGATACATGCCGTCTCAATTGCTGATAGTAGCTCTTGCAAAAACCATGGAGCTGCCAGCTCTTGCAAAAAACGATGGAGCTGAAAAAACTTTTGCGTGAGCGAGACCTTCTTCCATGTTTGATGGAAGACATGTTATTATGATTGGAGCGACCAATTCCCTACTTGAGTAGTGGTTTTAGTGCAAGAACTCTTCAAGAGAATTCTGGATGCCGAAGGCGTCCTTGGGGCAACCTCGTAGTTCCTATGGGGTGGAGAAGATAGGGTCCGTCTTTGGGCTTTTCACAGATGATTGAGTTGAATGGGTTCTATAAGTATTAGCTAGTCTCAGAGGAGTGATATGGACAGAATCAGTAGTCTCCCAGACCATGTTGCCCATCACATTCTTTCCTTCCTCACACTGCAGGAACTTGTCGCAAAAAAAGTACAGGAAACTATGCATATCAATTCTTCTCTTGACTCTTGATGGTTTGGGATATGGTTTTCTCAAAAGAACGCGGTTCCTAAATTGTATGGATAGGTTCAATACTCTTCGTGAAGGAATGGAGACGCTACGGATTTCTATTCGTTCGTTATTGGAACCATGCAACTCTATTAATTGAAAAATATTGTGTTTCTTACTTGGCTGTGTTGTGCAACAAGTTTTAGTGCTGAGTCGCTTGATCTTAACTTCTATCTCGCTGAGGTTGGAGTTTTTATCTTGCCACTTCACGTCTTATATTGTGAATCCTTGATGAAATTACAGGTGAGTTTACGTAGAGGTTATCTCGTATTCCTTTCTCCCAATGGGTTCGAAGCTTCAATCCTAAAAATTAAAAGGTGTTGGAATCCTTGATGAGAATTTTGGAGAAAGGATTTCATCTTGCTGCAGGCAACTTAGACAACTGTACCTTGATCATATTTTGGGGATAAATGATATTAGCATCAAAAGTTCCCCACTTCAAGAGATGACAATCATAGACTTGTCATCTGGGGATCTATGCAATATTAGAGTGTCAGCTGTGATGCTTAAATGGATGGAGTGTTATGGTGCAACGTCAGAAGGACATTCAGCTTGTCCATGCTCTATCCTGTTTATCTCTTTCCAAATATAATACTTAGCTTGATGTTGCAGCCCAACACTCATTGACACCAGCCCAAACGACCAAGACAGCTATGAACCTTAGCCTGGCCCATCAACTGGAGTTGGCAGAAGGAGCTCACGCACCATCTCCAAGCCAGCTAGATATTATCCTATATACTAAACCAAAATGGTTTCACTGTAGCAATAAACAGTGAAAAATAACTGTTCATTGCTACAGTGTTTTTTTTTAAAAATTTCTATTGATTTTTTTTGCTATGCCCGCTCCCCCCCCAACCAATCTGTTTACTGTTCATTTGAACAGTAAACGCCTGCCCTCCTCCTTTTTCTTTTTCTTTTTTGTAAACATTTAATTTTTTAAAAAATTTCCACCCATTTACTGTTCATATGAACAGTAACGGCTTGCACCCTTTTTTTTTTTTTTTAAACATTGAATTTTTTTTTAATTTCTGTTTCTTAATAGTATTTGGTGTTAAAATTTTATAAGAACCAACAATTAATTGGGTGTTAAAATTCTAAAGAAACCAACAATTTATTTCCTTTATTATTTATTTTTAAAATTTTTTAAAAAATAAGAAATAGTTAAATATAAAATTTTTGATTAAAAAATTATAATTATTTTTACCGTAAAACAGATTATTAAATTAAAATAATTTTTCTAAACGATTTTATATATTTTATCCAACCTACGACATAGAGCGAGATAAAAAATCTAATACTATATACTAAAGAAAAATCATTTTTACTGTAGCAATGAACGGTGTTAATCACTTGTTTATTGCTATAATACTTTGGCTTTTTTTGTTTTTTAAGTTTTCATTTTTTTTTTTTGCCAGCACCGCTGGCCTTCCCCTCCTTTTTTTTACTCGTTTATTGTTCATTTAAATGGTAAACGGCTTGCCCTTTTTTTTTTTTTTTCTCTAAACGCTATTTTTTTTAAAATTTCCGTTCGTTTACTATTCACATGAACGAGTAAGCAGCTGGCCTCCTTTTTTTTTTTTCCCTAAACATTGAATTTGTTTTAATTTTAATTTCTTAATAATATTAGGTGTTAAAATTTTAAAAGAACCAACAATTAATTGGGTGTTAAAATTTTAAAGAAATCAATAATTTATTTGCTTTATTATTTATTTCTAAAATTGAAAAACACAAATAAGAAATAGTTAAATATAGATTTTTTTCATTTAAAAATTATAATTATTTTTATCATAAAACAAATTATTAAACTGAAATAATTTTTCTATATGATTTTATATATTTTATCCAATCCGCAGCGTAGCGCGGGTAAAAAATCTAGTACTTATTAAAGAAATAGCATAAGTTTGCTACAAAATTATTATAGGAAATGATTAGTATTGACAACTCGTTAGTTTGTTATAAAGAATGCCTATATAGCTAAATGAGGAATGGATGACGACTAAGCATAATATTTCCCAAATTCTTCTTTCTACCTCTTCCTTTTCCTTACTCTTCCCTTCTCTCGCCTCTCGCACTATTCTATTACTGCGCCAAGGAACCTTCCCTCATAATATCGAGAGCCCATTCACGTATAGCTGCAACATTTGGTGCTTTTATTGAGAGATTTGCAGCACCATGATCGAAGGGATGATCACACGTTTGAAAGCACTTGAAGAACAAATCGCCAAAATCTCTTACCAACTCAACCACCATGCCACCAATTTCTCCAAGCTCGATTCCATGGGAGACGCCATCAAACAACACTTAGACACCTTTGACCTACTGCGAAGTCACCGTCATCACAATAAATCGTGATGGCCGACATCATGCTCAAGCTAGCTAGACTGGAAAAACAACCGATATAACCCCTTCTTCCACCCTTACCAAACACTCCTCCCCTTCATCGACAACCATTCACGACCACGACTTCACACACTACATGCCACACTACAACCCGTGCAACACATCTAAACGTTGATCCTCCCTCGAATTTCCTCACACCTAGATTCACAAAGTTGGAAATTCCCTTGTTCTCCGAGGAAAATGTCCAAGGGTGGCTCTTCCAAATAGAGCACTTCTTTAGCTATCACAACACTCCCCAAGATCAAAAACTCACCATTCGTCGCCTTCTATATGACCTACATAGCCTTGCAATGGTTCCGGTGGATGCATTCCACTTTTCGACTCACAACTTAGGAGAACTTCACACAATAGTCAAAACTAAGGTTTGGGCCTTCCAAGTTCATCAATCAGGAAGCCCAACTATACACATTAAAACAACAAATCATTGTTTTGGCCTATCTTTGTGAATTTGAGACCATATCCACCCGCACCACGGGCTCGAGCCATAACAACCTCCTAAATTGCTTCCTATCCGGGCTGAGAGAAGATATCCGAGTGGGAGCTCGAATCCCGAAACCACAAAGGCTCCATGAAGCCATGGGGATGGCCATGCTTGGTGGAGGACAAATGTAATGCCTCCAAAATGGCCATTAACAAATTTCCCCTCAACGAACAACCCCATTCCCGAATAACCCCAACCCTAACTCCCTTCCCATCCCACATCAAATAACACAAAAACCCATTTACTATCAAATGAATTACCCCTGCTGAAATGGCTATGTGCCATGAAAGGGGCTCTGCTTTAATTGTGATGAAAAATTTACTCCGGGACACCGTTGCTAGCCACCCCAATTCCTATGCCTCATGGCCGAGATAGATGAAGATCTCCCCATCAAAAATTTGGTCGCAATAAAAGACGCCGATGACTCTCCTCAATTGCACTCCACGGGTGAAGATTTAAAGACGTTCCCTCGGATCTCCTTTCACGCCCTTACGGGTCGGCTAGTACCCTCCACCCTCAAATTAGTTGGCATGATCAATGGATGTGTTTACTTGAAATTTACAAAAGAATAGATAACATTTACAAGACGTCAAGTATGGATTTTTTTAATATTTTAAAAAAGTTTTTTTTATGGCCTAAACTAGTATTTTTATCCTATATGAGGTAAGAAGAATTTTTTTTTACTTAAAATTATATTTAATTATTTGTAATTAGTTTTTATGATGCAATAAATTAATTTACTTAATCAAGAGATTATGATGTGGGCATGAGAATAGCTCAAGAAAAATGGGTAAAAAAGTATACGGGATAGCGATGCAATTGTAGTTCCCAACGTGTCTTTGGGGAACCTTTGGCTCCAAAAGTAGTATGTTCTTTTCATCTTTGATTTCCCTTGGCCCCCAAACAATTTCTTTATTATCAACTCGTGTTTTCTTTTTCTATGGAGAGCAATCTGTCTTTTCACACATCAAATTTTGATTGGCAAGGATCTCTTGATCAAATTCCTATTGCTTGGAACATATGAAACATTTAGGAATTGTTGCAATTGCTTTCGGTTACCATCCCTCTATAGGGCGAGGTTTCTAGTAATCAAAACTTAACTCTTTCACACCATATTATCACGGGCTTGACTTTTTCTAAGTTCTTGTGTAGCACTCGACTCACTTCTTTTCTAAGTGAAACCAAATCAGCATTTCCCACACAAAGTTATCAAGTAAGAAAGACATACAAGAAATAGAAGAACTCTTTGTATTGCTCTCTTTAAAGCTTACAATTCTAAGATACACTTCCTTAGATTTTTGGATGTCTTGATCAAATGAAGGCTTCACCTATTTATAGTCCTCTACCTCCTCAATAGATGACTATGATCTATTTGATCTAATGGTTATAATTGATTCTCTAGAAATATCATATCTATATATTTATAAAGAATCATCTAGATATGTACGAGCTAAAAAAATGAAAGACTCTCTAGAATTCTTCTAGGACTTGTATAGATTTCTCTTGGACATCATAGAGGCTTTTTAATTGCTTTATAATCTTCCGGAGGCATCCGGACTTATCTAGCGTTGCTAATAGCCTCTAAAAAAATCTCTCTTTTGAGCGGGGTGTAACACTCTCCCCCACCTAATTTAACGACGTCCTCGATGCACCTTTAATATATTCTTCAACCTTTTGTGCAAATTTCCACAAGGCTTCAGCAAGTTTCTAGCTAGTCTTGCTTTACGGTAATCCCTTCCATTTCACATAATACTCCTTACTTGGTGGCACTCAACGACGTCCGATTGTACGGTCATTAAGTATGACATCAACTTCTTTGACATACGAATCAACCACTACCGTAGGTGCCCTATGAGAAACTCCTTGACTTGGATCCTCCTCATCGATATGGTATGGATTCAACATACTAACATGGAAAACTCGGATGGATTTTTAGCTTCGGTGGCAACTCTAAGTGATAGGACACCTCTCCCACCTTATGCACTATCTCGAATGGCCCTTCATATCAACGTATGAGGATTTTTGCATCTTTTAAAATACCTTATATTGCTATGGCAACAACTTTACCATCACTTTATCACCTGGTTGGAAGGTGACATAACTCTATTTCTTGTCAACCCACTTTTTCATCTTCTTAACTGACCTTATTCAAATACATTTGCATCAAGTCCGCTCGCTTTTGCCATCCTTTAGCAAAAGAATATGATGTAGTGCTACTTCCTTGGTACTTATCACCAAGTACCATTGTATGAGGAGTGAGAGGCTGCTAGCCCATCATGATCTTGAATGGACTTTTACCAGTAGACTCACTCTTTTGCAAGTTGTAGGAGAATTGGGCAACATCTAGTGACGTAGCCCAATCTCATTGGTTGACACTCATAAAATGCCTCAAATATGTCTCTAACAATGCATTAACCCTCTCGATCCGCCCATCCGTCCGAGGGTAAAAACTCATGAAGCAATGTAGCTTTGAGCCTAATAAATCAAATAGCTTTGTCTATAGCTTCCTAGTAAATCGAGGATCTCGATAATTGATTATATGTTGCGGCACGCCCCAATACTTCACCACATGCTTGAAGAGTAGCTTAACGATATTCTCGGTTGTCGTATCCGTTGGGGTTGAAATGAAAGTGGCATACTTTGAGAACTTGTCCACAACTACAATAATGCTCCCACAACTCTCCGATTTCAGCAAAGCCACTATGTAATCCATGGTGATTGTCTCATATGGCCTCTCCATGATAAGCAAAGGCTGTAATAGGCCCACAAGCACTCGGTTTTCAACTTTGTGTTGTTGGCACACTAAGCATGTTCTCATATAAGACTCCACATCATCATGCAACCGTGGCAAAAAATGTGCTTCCTCCAACAAGGCTCTAGTGCGTTGTTGTCCTAGATATTCAGCCTACATCAAGTCATGACATTCCTTTATTAAATCTCGTCGGAGATTTCCCCACTTAGGCACATAAATTCTCCTTCCTTTTGTGTAGATAATGCTATCCTTCTCTCAAAATTTTCGACTCTTGCCCTTCCTTGCAAGGGCTAACAAACTCTTGGCGGTGGGATCATACTCTATTCTTTCCTTAATTCTGGTCATGATCTCCTCATCCACCTTCGTCATGTGATGCAACTCGGTCTTTCTACTAAGTGCATCAGCCACTATATTGGTCTTGCACGACTTGTACTCAAAGACATAGTCAATTCGCAGCCATTGGCATCATTCGATACAAAATCCTATACAATATATTTACATTCAAACATTATGACTGAAGTAAGAAACTTTTGGAAACGATGGCCAAATGGGTTCAGCACCCTTTCCATCTGAAATCGTTAGAGATCTCATGAATGAGAAGGCTAGTTTCTTTCCTTGTGATACCATGTAAGTTGACAGGATTTCTTCAAGATTAATAAGTGTGTTTGCATTTGATTGTTCTTTCAGTCTATATACATGCATGGCTTTTGTAATGGCTTTTTCAAGGGAAAAAAAAATATACATGCATGGCCTTTGTAATGGCTCTTTCAAAGGAAAAAAAAAAGGTTATAATATGTTGAAGATATGTTTATGGTTATCAAGCAAAATGTTGATTAGCTGTAAAGGACTGTAAAAATGTTGTTCAACTGAGGGTTTGAATTATGTCTCGTTGTTTCTTTCTGTTTCCGTTAGGGCTAGAGGCTAGAGCAGTGGCATTGATAATGTGCAGTAAGCAAAATGACTTTGGGAGTGGGGGATGCAATTGGTGGGGTGGTGTCTGTTATCTCGGCTTCTATAAAGGATATTCTGTATCACTTTTGGAAATTTGAGATAGGTTACATAAGACTTATAGCGTGCTTATCCACTTTTTGAACTCTATGATCTAATTTTTTTAGGCATCAGTACTCAGGTGTACGTGCTTCATCAGTCATAGGTGAGATTCACTAATCACTCCTTAAAACACTAATTCCAACTTTAACCCCACTCGACGAGAGGATTAGGAGGCAGCCTTTCGAGCCCCAGTAATCCGAACAAGGTTCTTTTTTTCTTTCGATTGGCTGGGGGGCGACTTTTAGACATTTCAAAGGTAGAGAGGTCTCATGTTAGATCGTAAACTCCATTCATCACATTAATAGACTCAAAAAGGCTAATTCCTTCTGCAAACAGTGACAATACAGGAAATGGAAAGGAAAGCCACATAACAGTTGCTTGACTGTTAAGAGTCTTGCACTAAAAGCAGTTGACTAGAATTACAAAAATCATGTTTATATAATGCTGTTGACAGTAACTCATTTACTGTATCACCTGACCAGGTGCAAAAATCAAACAGAAATGTAACTCGGCGTTGGTGAGGTTATGAACCGGGTATGAGTCGAACGAAAAGACCTCTCAAAAGAGTCAACTTCAGCAGCTTCCATTGCGCCACTTTTTGCAGCAGTGAATTTTTGCAGCAGACTTGTCAGTGATGAAACAATTTCAGACATAGGTGGACGGAAGAACTTCTCAGGCTGTTCAAGTATCAAGGGAAAAAATTAACAACTTCAATGAATAATCACATAATACCATATATTTAAGTGATTGTTTATAGATGTTTGTGCCAATACCTGAATGCAGAGCGATACAACGTCTGCAAAACGAGATAAAGTCTTGGAGGTGAGCGTTCTTTTGATGCCTGGATCAACCATCTGAATCAAACTCTCATTGTCATGCAGCCGAGTAGAAGCCCATTTCACCAAAGATTGCTCTGCTCTTGGTCTTGAGCTGTGTTAGAGACAGAAAAAGATATCAGAAGATCATTCAGCAATTTAATTGAGGCAGGGGGTAAACTCTACCCATCAAAAGGTCTTCTTCCTGTAAATAGCTCCAAAAGCAACACTCCAAACGCATAAATGTCAATCTTCGTGTTGTCAGTTACTGGTTCCCCATGTTCAGGAGCAATATAGCCGGTGTCTCCAATAGCAATTTCAGAAGCCTGTTTGTATCAGCGGTCAACAACATTGGATGAGCCCTTCTTCGTCCTCAATCACTTACATATATGGTTGACTAGAGATGCATTTGGTGCAGCTTGAATGATGACATGTAAGCAGCTAACATACAAGGGATTTGAGGAAGAAAGAAACTCAAAGCTTACAAATTCTGATGCAAAAACGTTTCTGATATGCAACGTCTAAAAATTCTCTAAAAGAATTCTTGAAAAATTTTTAACTCAAAAAAACTTGATGCATCAACTTTTAACGCTATCAGCCTACTCTTGCAGCTCTATGCTATATTGTTGTGTGACAATGAAAAATCTGAGAAGATTAGTCATGCACTTACCTTCATTTTAACACTGTTGCTTGTCAGTGGCCTCAAAATATCTAGGCCAGTGTCACATAGACGAGGCATAAGCTCCTGATCAAGTAAGACATTGGCAGCCTTTACATTGCCGTGAGCCACAGGAGGTGAGAATGTGGAGTGCAAGTACCTGAAATCATAATTTTCAAGGTGGAAGTAATCAGTGCATGGAAAAATGTAACATGTATAACAGACATCAAGTTCCTCCACTTCCTATCCTGATATTTGCTAAATCAGTTCCTCTCCGACCATCGTTAATCAGAATTCTGAAGCACAGAGATGTATGCTTCGAGAATGTTTTCTGTCGCTTAAAATGACATAAATCTCCTCGGACGGTTTTTTTGAAACTGTAGATACACTCTTTTAGTCTTGCAAAGTGAAGTAAGAGATATGGTCCTACTAAGCAAACCAGCCATATGTGATACTTACTCCAAAGCCCGAGCAACACCAAGTGCAATATTAAGACGAATGTTCCATGACAGTGGCTTGTACGCATCACTATGCAGAACATCATGAAGAGACAAATCTCTGATGTACTCATACACGAGAAGATGCTGCCCATGTTCTACACAGTAGCCAATGAGGGTTACAATATTTGGGTGCCTCAGTCGGGATGCAGTCCAAATCACATCCAATAATTGTTCTTCTTCTTGGAAAGACAGTGATACCATGTTGATGTTTTTCACAACAAATATCTGGAAAGGATAAAAAATTAGGTTGGGATGGCGTTGGTCAGGGACTTCTCATAACCTTTGTGAATTTCAGAAATAATAAGAAATCAGCAAGTTCAAGCATATACCTGGCCATTGGGGAACTCGGCTCTGTAAACAGAACCAAGAGACCCCTCTCCAAGAAGATTCAGTTCACTGAAGTTGTTTGTCGCCAACTGAAGTTCTGCCACTGTGTAAATTTTTGCCCTCACTGGGGCTTTATATTTCGAGAAACTTTTTCTTGCTGACATCTTCTCATTTCTGTTGTGGCAAATAGGAGGGATATGCGTTGGGCCAAGAAGGGAAGGAGATCTGGGAGGCAACAGTTGTGGGTTCACTTCATATGCTGCTGGAGAACAGACATAACGTTGGAAGAAGAGGGATGGTAAAGGAAAATTTATTAATAAAAGAATCAGCAAGATGATAACAGCTAAAGCCCGAAAGGTTTTAGATAAAAAGCAATAATATTCAATCGTGGAATATGGCATACAGTTAATATCTCTAGTGTCAACTTGAAAAGTGATAGAAAGATGAAAGAGTAATTGATATCAAAAGCAAATGGAAGGTAATACCTCCACAATTAAATTTCTCGGAAGGTAAATAAAATCAGTTAAAACTAAGTCATGCAGCTGTACAGATTCTCAATCGATAAGATGGTGTTGCTTTGTGTTAACCAAGAGCTCATTTGAATTGTTGAAAAATGGATATGGAACACAAAAAGAAGAAGCACAAAACTGCACTTGTAGTGGAAATATGGAATGGAAACTACAACCAAGAAAGATTTCACAATTATGGCATGAGCAAATATAATAAATAAGTCTTTTGTATCTGGAAATCCATATCAGCCTGCAGTTTCTGCAAACACACAGAGTTATATTACACTTGTATATGACACATTCATTTTAGTGTGCATCAAAGATAAGAGAACATGTGTTTTCACATGAGTCTGACCTCCGGTTGTCCTGACAGAACAAGAATGGCGGGATCGCTTAATACGCATTGCAATGAAGATTGCAGCACATGTCACCACCAGAGCTACTGCACCCACCGCACAAACTATTCCACCGGGGCCCAAATTTTTCTTCTTGTGTCCATTTACCTTGACATAATTCTCGATGGCACTTGACTCTGTCGTTGGGGGATCATTAAAATTTTGCCCAATGGATCCATTATCCAAAGGAAAATTCCAGGGAGGATAATTTGCTCCTTCATGGAACCGATTTCCGTCAATCCTAGTAAAAGATAGAAAGCCAAGGAAATTAATGAATAGTTATTTAATGCAGGCTATCAAAAGCGAAGCAGCTGGAATCTTCCCAACTCACCATAGATTGGGTATTAACTGAAATTGAGTTGGAATTACACCACTAAAGTGATTGCTTTGGATATTCCTGAGAATAATAAAAATATGCGAGAACAAAAAATAAAATAAAATTCAAACTCACAAAGCAGCCTAATTTTCGAAAGGAAAAAAAATAAAATTGTAAGAACCTACAGGTCAGTTAGTGGAAGATTAGCCAGGTAGACAACTGAGCCAGTGAATTGGTTGTTCTGTAAGAACCTGTAGATAAAGCCAAAACAACACATAGGAACCAACTTGATATATAAGAGAAGAAACACACCAGGTATGGACCGAGGAAAACTTAAAGAGGAAGTTACATAAAACTCACAATTTGGTAAGATTTGTCAGAGATCCAAAAGAACTTGGCAAATCTCCAGTGAAGTTATTGGATGACAGGTCTCTAAGGCAGCAGATGGAAGGTTCACAAGGAAATGAGAGTGATCATCAGTTTACAATTAATTTTATGAAGGATGGAAATGGAACTGATAACTTCAGGAAAAGAAGGTGACCAAAAAGCAGCTTGCTTTGCGTGACATACTGCATGTTCAAGACGCTCACCAATGTTAAAATGTTCTCATATCTCAACCAAAACATGGTTCGATTATGGTGCCAACTTTGGAACAAACAAATTCTCAAAGGCATAATAAAACCAGTTTCCTTGCCAATGTTTGATTTCGAACTAATTTTTTGAGATAATTTGTTTGAAACAAATTAAATACAATCTTTTGATGCAATATGGAAAAAAGGAAGACAATGAGTTGGTTTGATATTCTTGTTACTGTAATATTTCTTCCTTATGATATAATTAACGTAACAATGTTGATGAAGGCTGCACCACTAAAAACGCTTCAGATTTATGCTCTGCTTTTATTTAACAGAAGACCTGGTATCTATATGAACAAATCTCTACAGAGTCCAGCCTTTTTTACAAAGCTAAAACCAAAGGGCTAAAAAAGCTTACATCTCTTTTAGGTTATGTAGGCCAGTAAACACATTGCCAACGGGTCCAGACAATGAATTGCGACTCAAATTCCTGCAAAAGTACAGTCAAAGAGTTCATGACTGTACATCACCAAGCAAAAAATCTAGAAAAATAGGCATTATGGTGACAAGCAGCTTACAGATGCCGAAGTAACTCTACACTAGGTAAGGAAAGGGGTATGCTTTGGCTCAAGTAGTTGTATGCTAAATTTCTGCATCGATCAAGTGAAACACTATCCTATGTTAAATAAACACAACCAAAGATAAAGATGCATAAGTAGGTGCTTGTGTGGCTAGAGTATAGATATAACCAAACTAATATAGAATTTATGACCAGAACACGCAAAAGAGCTTACATATGAGTGGCATTAGGCGGCAAAGCATATGGTATTTCACCCACAATGTAATTAGAGCTAACATCCCTGCCACAGAAAACCAAATTAAGAATCAAATGACAAGAAGAACTTAGATAATTGAATCTAAGACATGAAAAATCACTTACAGATGCCTCAAGCTATGGAGAAAATGCAGCTGTGTTCCAAGGAACCCACTGAGGTTTAGTCCCTGAAGTTTACTGCACAATGTGAAAGAACAAATTACTGTTCCTAATGTTTTCCAATTAACTACAGTAAACAACATATAGATTGTGAGATAGGGGTATGTCCACACAGGTGTATTACAGATGCCCCAATACATGAGACTCCAGTCCATGATTCCCCACATGGATCTCCTCCATCCAATCTCCATCCCTTTAGCTGTGGTGGGTTACTCAGGGCCTTGTATAGATCTTGAAGTGCTATGACTGCATTAATGTTAGAAGATAATAAGATTATTGTCTGTAACTAACAGTATCATCATGTTCTGTCTAGAACAATTAAGCAAATTGAAATCATAAGGTCCCACTGAATAAAACAAACAAATAAATACGAGTCAAAATGATGCAATTAAGCCCTAATTATCACTAATCACCATGTATACATGATTTACAAGTAAGCTTCTACACACTGGATATTTTTGCCCAAAAATAACGCCAGATATCGAGATTATAGTGCATCACAGGCTATTCTCTTATTTTACCACGAATTCGCTCCCTTACAGCCTCATTGTCCCGCTAAAAGAAAAGGAAGCTAAAAATCCTTTTTTTTTCCTGGCCTTCTGTTTGGTTTGAGTAAACCAAGAAAAAGAAAAAAAAGAACTAAAATCTTTATTTCGTAGGAAAATCAAATTACATTCTTAATTGAATCTGGAATCTGTGCTCTTCTTGCTCCAAATAATTAAAAAGCATGAAAAGAAAATTTTATTCTCTGTTGATCAGTTACTAAATAACAGTTCCAAGTTCAAATCTGTACTTAAATTCCTACATTTTCTCGGAATCCAAACAGATATTGGTAAAGAACATTCTAGTGAGTTATGCCACAAAAATATTCTAAAAAACCACACAAGAAATAGATCACAAAAAGGCAAGATTAAAGGTAAAATTAACAAGATTTAACTACCATCAGGAGGATCAGTAGAAGCACAAGCTTGTAAAGCAAGAATCGCCAAGAACACAATCACAGTTAAACCCCAATGCAGTCTCTGTTTAGCCATCGTACCTCCAAGAAATTACACCTTATCACTTTCTTTTACCTATATACAAACAGGATACACTCAAATCTTTACAAAGAAAATTTCTCGCTCCTGTTTGATTCCCGAGAAAATGAAAAGAAATTTATAGGTTCACTACTACAAAGACTAACAAAAGATGGTGGATTGAGTTTCAAAAGGTTCTTAATTTTCTTTCATTTTCTTTTCTTTTCTGTTTTCTAAGTGACCAAACAGAGCAGAAAATTACTGTACGGTCTTACTTGATATTTAGAGCGAGAGGGAGGGAATTTGGAGCGGTTTTTTGTTTGTTGCAGAGACGAAAGAAGGAGTGCTGAAGACGGCTATTGATCACATGACATGTGTATATATAACTGACTAACTGAACTTAGCCACGTCAGCTAAAGGCCGTTATGGCTGTTGAGTACACGTGGCATCAAGCAGCCCATTTTTGGGCTCTTTGGGGATTGGGCTGCCTTTTATGGGTCAGTATTGGGCCATTTAATCCCTCTTTGAAACATTGTGTTTTTTGCTCTCTCTCTCTCTCTCTCTCTCGCTCTGTATCAATAATGGCAGAATCAACAGAGAAGGAAGGAGACAGAGAATCAAAACAACATGGAGAAGAAGAAGAGGAAGAAGATTACATGGGAGACCTTTCTCAATTCCTTCCTCCTGAAACAACTAGCCCTTCAAAATTCTCCGCCAAAAAGGTCAGTATTTGTTGGTTTCTTTTCACTAATCAAGTCTCTAAAGCATTTATTTTTCATACTCTCTGTTACTGTGATTCTAAGTTTAGGTGTTTCTTTTTTGTTGTAAGGAAAAAAATTAAGAACGTTTGTTGATTTTGCATATTAAAGGTTTTGGTAGAGATTTTAGCTATTTAGGATGGGCATTTTGTATTCATTGTATGGAAAAAAAAAAAAAAACCTAATGCAATTTGATTACGCTATTGGAGACCTGTGATACTTGAACTGGTGCAAACCTGTGATGGTTGAAGAGTAATACTGGATATAGAGGAAAAGAATAAAGCAAAGAACTTTACTTAGATAGCTCTTTGCAACTGAAAAGCGTCCAATTGTGTGCATGTGGCTTTGCTTAGTACTGTACATGACCTTTATTGTTTATAACTTTCTCGGCTATTTATTTCCCGAGCTTATTATGGGTTGAAAGTGAAAAATAACAAACTTAATAGGTTCATATGGTTTAACTCGATGTTTTTACTTGTGGTGTTTTGGTGACATTGTGACCATTTGTACAGAATGTCAACAGCAAAGCCCGAACTATTCAATCATTCAATAAGAAGTCCAAAAACCTTGCCTGGCAAGAACAGCATAGACTTGAGAGGGAGAAAATGCAACAAGAGGAGGATGAGCAAACCTTGGCAAGAATAGAAGCTCCAATTCCTCAATCTAACATTGGGTTTAAGTTGTTAAAGCAAATGGGTTACACCCCTGGTTCAGCCCTTGGTAAGGAGGGTTTAGGACGAGCTGAGCCAGTGGGGATTCAGATTCGGCGGACACGTGTAGGGATTGGAAGGGAGGACCCGTATAAGGAGAAGAGGAAGAGAGAAGAGACTGAGGCAGAGAGAAAGAGAAAGAAAGTAGAGGATTTGATGGAAGAGTTTGGGTCTAGGCAAAAGTATCAATGGCGAAGTCGGAGAGTTGTTGTGAATTTTAAGAAAGCAAAAGCAGCTCTTGATCAATTAGAGAACAAAGAAGTTGTGGAACCAAAGAAGAATGAAGATGAGGAGGATGGTGAACAGGATGAGGAGGAAGAGGAAGAGATAACAGAAGAGGTATGTTCTCTTTGGCATCGAACATTCTTTTGGTTAGTTATGCTTTTTAGTATATCAAGTGGGATTGCATTTAAACGAGGGATGTGTTCAAACTGAGCATCTTATAGATTCATGTTATTTGATATTGCCAAAATGCATTTTGGTGGTGACTTGCCAAATGTCTTGATAGTTAACATGGCATAGCTGGTTATAGCTGTTGCATACTGATGTTCCCATGTTTTGTTGATTCGGTTGTGATCAAATTATCTATGAACCAGTTAGCAAATTCTGAATTCCAATCAATTGTTTTATTTGTTCCAGTTATTGGAATTTGAATGCCAGTTGAAGTGTTGTGGGAAAGAACTTTTTGTGGTTCGGCTTTCTTTTTATTTGGCCTTTTCAGATTCACACATCTGGAAATGCTAAATGGATGATTGTTTTTATTGTGTTTTGCATTAGAGACCAACTCGGCTTACTTACTTTTAGGTGTTATGGGTCCTAGGTTGTTCAGTTCACCCAGCATATAACCAGTAATAATTTAGAAAAAGTGTAGACGATGATCTATAAATGTCTCTTATGAAGGATGCTGCATCTATGCTGTTTATGTTTGTATGATGCTGAATCTATGTTGTTTATGTTTGTATGGGCGCTTCCATTTCATGTGATATAACCTGAGTACCATGTTACAATGATGACTAATTTTGGCTGGGATATATACAGAAAATCTCCAGAGTAAGCTGGCCTTATGATCTTTGATTGCTTTTTTCTCTCAAAACCAGATTACTGTTTACAGATTTTATCCCTCAGTTTCTGATTTTCTGGGGAATCCTCTTTCTTTTACTTTCCACTCAAAGTGCAATTCCTTAGTTGTCAATTTAAAAGATGGTTTGTGGTTTCTTATCTTTTCCTTGACCTGCGTATATATTAAGATCCAGAGCAGTCTTATATAGGTTATCACGTCTGCTTTGGGATGTAATTAGATGTTGTCGAATAATGTAATTCATTTTTTTGGTGTGACTCATGGGATTGATTGATGCGTAGAGCTAACAATGAATTTAGCTTATCTAGGCAATGATTAAATGGTATCAGTGTAAATTATAAATAGTAGAAAATTAGAAACGCTAAGTATAGCAACTGTATCCTTATTTCTTCTCTGTTCTATAATAATTTTGTAGGTATCTTCTTTAGTTTGAAAAGTTCTAAAGTTGATTAATTTGGGACCATGGCATGTAATGAAGCTCCTATTTGGATTCAGGATTTGCAGGAAATATTGATGAAACTGAGAGATGAATTTCGATACTGCCCTTTTTGTGGGTTTCAGGTAAGCTAGTGTGTCATATTCATCCCCTCACATTCACACTGAATCTGAAATATTCATAAAATATGGTGCACGCATGCATGCCCATAGCTTTCTTTGCAAATTTTTGATACACCAGTGCATGTCACTAAACTCCATTTGTGTTTCTTCTGACTGTTTATACATGCACTTTATGTTGTTTCAGTATGAAACAATGGAAGCCCTTTTATCCAACTGCCCCGGAACAAATGAAGACGATCATTAGAGTTTGCTAGTGCAAGAGGCGTCAAAAATGCAAACTTCTTAGACATCTGAAATTTACACTTCACATGTTTCTTAAGCGGATGAACTTGCTCCCAATTGAGTGACACTGCTATAATTCTTTTTTAAGTTTCTGCAAATGGTCTCAGTTTGTCATATAGTGGTGTTTTATGAAGCGGATAGCAAGTCAAAAAGGGTAAGGTGATTAGCAATTCAAATCTGTTAGACAGATGTTGCTACTTGGAATGATATCTATGGCCGTCAATGTCATTCTTCACAGGCTCTCCAATGCTCCAGGAAGATGACGTTTAGTAAGTATGAGACATGTGAATTCCTTAGAAGCATGAGTACTTGTGCATGTAAAAATAAATGTCCATTAATCCAGGGCCACAAAATTTTAGTATTTGACATGGCATGTTGCAAGTAACGAACTAGATTAAGATTTTCTTGCTTGGCGGAACGGTCATGAAATCCTGCTCTCTGCAGAAAATTCCATGAAGTATGGGGTGCAAAGGTAACGTGAATGTTCTCTATGTGGGCATGGGATGGTGTGTCCACTTTGCATGCGGCTAGTGATGCCAAATTGAGACGCCAAACCCTGCGGAAAGTTCAAACAAGAAGCAACACGAACAGCTCTAGTCCGAAATGATCAAGTTACAAAATAGCCTCAAATAAACCTCAATTGGCCCTCAAACAACACCCAAATCAATATCAAATCACAATCCACTAACTCCTCAAACACAAACACACTCAAAACCCTAAATTGCTAAAAGTGCAAATAACGGTATCTGAAATTAGGGTTATTGCGTTCAGCATTTAAATCACCTAAAATAATATGAAATTTCTACAAAACCTAAATACTATCTAAGAAAACATGTATCTCAAATTTCAACTTAATCTAAGCCATTTAACCCTTGTTTTAACAAAGTTAAAATTCTGGATATGATAGGTTTCAGAATTTACACTAATTTTCACAATCTAAAAACACAAGCAAATATTTTTGTTATTTTCTGAAGTTTTTATAAAAGTAAAATCAACCCCTTAAATATCTCTTTTCAAAATTTCAAATCGAAATAAAATACCTAGCTTTGGTTGTCATTATAAAGATCGAAACTACTCGGTCCGAAACTCTAATACGCTTGTAATTTATCAAGCAACAAAACAAGAAAACTAAAGCAAGCTCCAATGCCTCACATCTAAGAAGAGATCTATTGGTCAAGTTGATTTAGAGATACTAATTAAATATTCGTATTACACCACGGTGAGACAACCATTATATACACGGGATTAACGATTCGTATAGTATGATGCGAGTAGGTATTTTGTTTCGAAGATTAATATAAATCGAATCTATATATTGAGCGAACTTGTTTGATTTATATATATTTATTAACAAAATAATTTATAATATTGGTATAAAAAATTATATTTGAATAATTAAGAGGTTCTTTCAAAACATTAATTAAATTATTTTATTTAAAAATACAAATTTTAGAACATGAAAAAAATAAATAACAAATAATTGGTGTTAAATGTGCGAGATATAATTAATTTCTAACAAAACTATATATATCGTACTTAGCAGATTTAGAGTATATAAAACAAATAAATATATTTAAAAAACCCGCCTAAATCGCATGGAATATATCGAAGTAAATAGATTTAAATAAAAATTACTATAAAATTGGTTTCAATAAATTATATATATATATATATATATATATATATATATATATATACCAAATAAAACCTGTAAATTTTTTTAACTAATTATTAATTTTTTAAAAAATGAGCCAAATTATTTTTTTAATTGATTATTATTTTAAAAAAATTAATTCAAATTATTTAAAACACACTTTTAGCTCTTCCCCCCTCCCCCCAATCAATACAGAACTATATATATACATATGTACATATATATACATATATATATATATATATATATATATATATATATATATACGTATATACATATATATATGTATATCGTACTTACGATCAGTATATAAAATAAATATAAAAAATATAAAAAATTTTACTTAAATTGCATGGAATATATTGAAGTGAATAGATTTAAAATAAAACTACTATAAAATTAGTTTCGATAAATTCGATTATATATATATAACCAAATAAAACCTGTGAATTTTTTTAACTAATTATTAATTTTTTAAAAAAAACCAAGTCAAATTATTTTTTTAATCGATTATTATTCTTTAAAAAAATTAAGTCAAACTATCTAAAACACACTTTTAGCCTCTCTCTCTCTCTCTCTCACACACACACACACACACACACACACACACTAGAATTTATATATGCAACAACGTCATTTTCATTTAAAAATCATAAAAATAATTAGTTTTATAAATTATAATAATATATTTTAAAAAATAAAAAAATCATGTTCTAAAATTTTATTTCAAAAGCCATATATATAAAAAAAATCAAATTTATTGAAAAATAAAATTATATAAAATTAAAAAAATTAATTCTATGAGAATTTTAATAAGAAACATACAATTAAAGAAATAAATTTTAAATAATAAAAGTAATATATATATATATATATATATATATATATATATATATATATATATATATATATATTCAAACTAAAATCTTAAAAAAAAAATACCATATATATTCTATTACTATTAAATTATACGTAAAATTAAAAAAATAACGATTTTTTTTATATTTTCACACATAATTTCATGATAAAAAAATATAAAAATAAATTACTTATATAAAAGGGGAACAATTGCCGAGTGAGAATATATAGAAATTGAAAATCAATCCTCTTTTCTTTTCTCATTTGCCGATAGCCCGACCCTTAAAAAAAAAAAAATGCTACGGTGAAGGAAAAATTCTAGCAGTCCAAGCACTTAAAAAAAAAAAAAAAGAGGAATGCTACGGTAAAGGAGCGAGTTCCAATAGCCCGACGTTTTCAAAAAAGAAAAAAAAAAAGTACTGCTACAATGAATGAACAGTCTCACCTCCGGATCTTTTAGTTTTTTTTTTTTTTTTTAATTTATAAGATACATTCCTCAAGAGGTCCACTCGACGTAATTTTGATCTAAGCCTATCTTAGTCGATCAATATAAGGATGTGTTTACAACATTCGATTAGTCCAAGCAAAAGCGATACGTAAAAAGTTTTAGAGAATCCACTCTAATTTTTATTCAAAATATTTATCAAAAGCTCTCGAAAAAGTAGTACAAAGTGTGCTTAAATACTCACACAACAAAACCCTAAAAGCTAACTTGGGTAGGATTTTCCTTGGTGGATTATAACACTCTTCTTTAATTGGACTCTCTTACTAATTTGAATTGGACTCTCTTACTAATTTGAATTGGACTCATGTCATTTATCTTTAATTAGGATTTTATTAATTCAACCTAATTAAATCTAGATTCACATATGTACATCAAAAATTCCTAACAAATAAGGATCCACAAGTACATAAGTATCGTTCATCCACTTAAACATCATTAAGCCTTATCCTAATGCAAACAGGAAACCTGAAATTATTGAGTAATTAGTTTCAACTTAAGTCTTTACAAATAAGATTAACCCACACAAAATAATATTCCAAATAATTAAAAGACATAAAAATAAAAGAATAGAGAGCTAAAAGTTTTGGTTACATGAGGGTGTCAAACTTTCAATCAAGTGAGAGGGTGGATGCTCTCGCATCATACTCTCCAAGTTGAAGAAAACTCGACTTCAAGTTTCAAGTCTTCCTTGCCTCGATCATATGGATTTCCAGTCAAGAAACTTGGCCCATATTCATCTCCCAAACGAACATGCTCTTTAGTTTAGGATCCCACATCAAGCTAGATTTGAACGTTCGTAGAATTCTTCTCCATACAAAGATTGACGTTAGTCCCATTATCATGCTTGAGCACCAATTCGTTCTAAACCAAAGTCTGGATAGAAACTTTAATCATTGGATCATTTGTCGATATGTCCTTATGAAGAACGCTGACAATATCACTACAAAATTGTGAACTTCCAGCTGTGATCTTTGGCCAGAAGCAAATTATTGAAGAGGTACGCCCCATCCAATCTATTATGCTGCCAGCAGTAGCTTCTTTCCACTGCTCTTCGGTACTCATTAGGTCCTCCATGATTTCCGTGCCAGCAACAACCTGAGCAGGTCTCTTGTTGCCCAATTTCGGTGCGTGCATGTTCAATCAAGCTCATCGTGGTAAGTTGTTGTGCAGCAGCTTCTATAAATTTATTTGAGATTGGTGGACATATTGACCTTTTCTTGATATGCCATTCTTGTTCTTCAGAAACAAGTCTGAAATTGGTGAATATTAGTGACTTGTCAGCCGCCCATTCAAAATGCTCTTGGGAACCCTTCTGTAGTTGTGCGACGGATTCAATGAATAGCATTAGCAGCTACACCAGCAGCTTGCTTTCCTTGTGGTCAGCAGCAACATCACGCCTAGTTGCTCTCATATTCTAAAGCACGCTACTAGATTTGGTCTCACACAAGTCATGATGCCATGTAACTGTAACGGCATGAAGTCGGCCTCTATATAAAGACAAACACCGCCGTTTCTTGCCACAAAGAGAGCCTTCTGAAATAAACTTCCTCCCATAAGAAACTCCAAGGACACTATTCTCAATATTTGGTTCGTTAAGAGTGGAGTAATGAGTATCCAAGTGCACGTCTGTCATCACCCAAATTGCTCTCTTTGTTTCATGATCACAAGCATGCAATGTCAATCCAGAGTTAGAATTGATCAAGACAGTCATGCCAACGAACTCACCAAGTGTATCGATCTTCTTGTTTGAATTCGCCCCCACCTTCTCTTTTGTTAACACATATTGCCAAGAACCTCCATTTGCATTCTTGCAATTGGGAACTGCAAGTTGCATGACCTTCTCATCTTGTTGTGGACAGCAACTCCATCTTCGGACTGATGCATGTTGATGCAGACAGTTCACAACAAGTAGAGTGAAAGCAACTATTGTTTTAAGCTCCAGTTGGCTATTGACAATTTCAATTGCCTTGAGAGCTCCTAACGTCAGTCCAAAAACTTTGGGGTGTGCTTCTTTCAAATACACAACTCCAAGATAGCTCCGCACTCGTCCCTCTTGACACAGCTTCATGTCAATAAAGTTTTACCTTGTCGTTCCATTTTAAAGCTCGTGCTGTTCAAACAAATATGGGAAAAGTAGGAGTTCATCCTCTTGTCATCAGCTTCATTAAAAAGCTCTTCCCTCCTTGATTTCCAAAGCTTCAAGGATTGACAAACTAGGTAGCCAAGTATATTAGGTCTTACCCATTCAGGAATCACGACAGGATTATGAACCCAATCACGAACCTTAGGCTCATGAGGAAAAAAACAACAACTTTTTCGGCTAGTTGTTCCATGAGATGAGCACGTCGTACCCATCCAGAATCAACTTCATGACAATCTCAAGAACACAAGTGTCACAACCATAAGTGGTTGGCTTATAGCAGCAATGCACCGAGTCACAATTACAAGTAGCAAATCCCTCAAATTTTTCTCTCCACAACCTATCATCCGAACAAGTAACGATTTCCACCACTTAACCTTTTCGTCATTTTTTTTTTTTTTTGTATTAGACCTTATCATCCCAATTGAAATAAATAAGGCTCACGAAGAGCCTTCTCTACTCATCATCCTTTTTCTCTAATATAGATTCATGCTCCTCAACTATAACACATATTGAGCCGCCACAAGCACCGCAGGTTTCACCGAACGATGATCAACCGATGTAGCGTAAACTCATAAAAAAAGGATAAATATCGTTGATCCGAAGTCCGGATATTGGTCTACTACAACGAATTGAAAAAATTGAGATACTCTCTCACAAAAGTTTATTAATCAAGCAAAAGTTTCGTTTTTCAGCCTCAAAGTCATACATAAATAGAAAAATCCGACCAAAACCCTAAAACGAGTTCAAAAAAAAAAAAAACAAATACCCAAAAAACCCAAAAATAAGGAAAAAAATCCCAAAAAAATAGTAAAAGTTAATTTTAAGGGCTAAACAATGTTTTTGGCCAAAATCGTACCCACTCATGGGCACAACTTATGAGTTTTGCTTGTTAGCCCGTTTGACATCGAATTAGACTTAAAAAACCTCGAATTAGGCCAATAGTGTTTTTTTTCAACTTCGTTACGCTCATATAGTTTCATGAATTCCCGAGCTCGTTGATCCGCATCACCAACCAACTTATGTCACATGATTTTCACAAATTGACATTTATAGAGCAAACATAGGATTTTGATAAGCATGAACAATATTAGCAACGATAACGAGCCCTTTATCGTTCTCATTGTTTCCTCATCAACATCTTTCCCCTTGTTTCCTATATCTTCAATATTGCCATCATTAGACTCATCATCCGAATAAACATAATACTAGGTAAGTCCCCGAGTAACATTAGGAATCGTCTCCTCACAATCAAGATAAAAAACATTCTCAAAAGTAGACATCTCCACAATTGGCTATGCACACATGAAAATTTGTCTCAACTCGATACCAAACCGATGTCGGATTAAGATGACAAACCCCGCAAAAATCTCAAGCAACAAGCAACACACGAACAGACTCTAAATTGAAAAAATCAAGATACAAAACAACCTTAAATAAACCTCAATCAGACCTCAAACAATACCCAAATCAATATCAAATCACAATCCATAAACCCCTTAAAACAAAAACTCACTCAAAACCCCAAATTGCCAAACACACAATAGCGGTATCCGAAATTAGGTTGATTATGTTCACCAATCAAATCATCTCAAAATAGCATGAAATTTCTACACGGCCTAGATAATACCCAAGAGAACCTATATACTAAATTTTAGCTTAATCTAATTCCTTTAACCTCTCGTTTCAACAAAGTCGAAATTCGGATAGAATAGATTTCGAATTTACACCAACTTCCATCATCCAAAATCATAAGCAAACATTTTTGTTATTTTCTAAATTTTTTTATAAAAGTTAATCGAACTCTTAAATAACTATTTCAAAATTTTAGTTCAAAATAAAATTCCTAGATTTAGTTATCAATGTGAAGACCAAAACTATTCAATCCGAAACTCTAATATGCTTACAATTTATCAAGCAACAAAACAAGAAAAATAAAGCAAAACCTAATGTCTCACCCCTAATCGGAGATTCATTGCTCAAGCTGATTTAAAAAGTATTTATAAGATATATTCGTCAAGAGTTCACTCGATGCAATTTTCATCTAAACCCGACTTAGTCGATCAATCTAATGATGTGTTCACGACGTTCTAACTAGTCAAAGCAAAAGAGATATACAAAAGTTTTCGGAGAATCCACTCTAACTTTTATTCAAAATATTCATCAAAAGCTTTTGAAAAAGTGTCACAAAGTGTGCTTAAATAATAACACAACAAAACCTTAAAAGTTGGTTAGGGTAGAACTTTCCTTCCTTGGCTGATTATGACAATCTTCCTAAATTAGACTATCTTATTAATTGGAATTGAACTTATGACATCCATCTTTAATTAATTAGGACTTTATTAATTCAGCCTAATTAAATTTGGATCCACATATTACATAAACTCATAATTAAATAAGAAATCTCTAGCAAATAACGATCCACAACACATGAGGATCATTCATCCACTTTGGCCTCTTTCGGTCTTGTCCTAATGCAAGAAGAAACCCGAAATTATTGAGGGCTAATTAGTTTCAATCCAAGTCTTTAAAAATAAAATTAACCCACTCAAAATAATAATCAAAATAATTAAAAAACATAAAAATAAAAGGATAGAAGCTGAAAGTTTCCACTACTTGGGGTGCCAAACTTTTGGCCGAGTGAGAGGGTGGATGCTCCCGCATGGACTGCCCCTTTGCAAGTGCTACATGGCAGGCCTTGGTCGACTGCCTCCCTACTCTCCTACAAGGCAAACTCCAAGGAGCTGGATACGCTTAGCCATGGATGATCTGAAGAGTGAAATCATAGAAACAGGGTGGGGATATTAATGCAGCCTGGAAACTTGTTGAGGAGGAGCTGGGTAGGGTGGCCCATGTGTTAGCTAGAGAGGTCCAGTAGTAGAATGAGTTGTATCATGGGTAGAGAGTCCTCCATTTCTTCTTCTCGTTAAATTTCCCAATATCGAGCAAGGAAAATATATCATCGCTTTTCTATCAACATTTACAAAATTAATTAAAAAAAAAACTAAAAATAGTTGAGGTTCGTGTGTCGGCACATGGTTACTCAGATCAAGTTCAATCTTGAAAAATCCGTATAATTTGGTTGCTGCTGAGACATTTCTTGGTGCATAAGAGATTTTGATCACGTATTACGGTTAGCAGCACGACAGTCCAACTCATGCTCCCCTCATCTACTGTAGTTATTCGCCTTCCACTGCAGGTATCCTTTAGGTGAAAATATGCAAGCCTAAAGAGAATCCATTTCAAGATAACAGAATCCAATCACCAGCTGCCAAGGGAAATCTCGAAGTACCAATTTAGGACAAGGCTGAAAATCCCATTATCATACCCCCAACATCTTTACAGGAACGCCTACCATGATATTCCTAATTCTAGGCAAAGAGTCTTTAAAGTTGGCATAACAAGGATAACACCTTGCTTGTCTTAAAGTTACAATCATAACAAGGATAACACAGGCCAAGAGCCAAAGAGTCATCATTTTGGGTTTAACCCAAACAAAAGATCAAGAACATCGCCTCCCTAATTTTTAATCCGAGTAACCAACTTCTGGAAACGTTTTTGCACAAAAAGCAATAAAAAAGGACCACTTAAAGTGACCAGTGGATGTGCTGGTTTGAAGAGTCATAGGCCCTGGAATGCACCAGGTCCATGTCTTGCCTCCTATTCTGTTGAGACAGCTCGAGCTGACCAGAAAATTGATTGTCAAGAGGCAGAGAGATTTGGCCCAGACCCGGATCAGAGCACATCTCATGTGAACTATTACTTCCTCCATTGCCCTTGAAACTCCAATAAGGGTTTGGATACTGATTGACAGCTGCACCATGGGAAGCTGTTGATTGAACCACGGGTGCCCCTTCGGCATTCAACAAGTCATTCACCTCAAGACTTGATGCTCGGTTTCTGGAGCCCCATGGTTGATTTGACAGAAGAGAGAGAGCACAATTCGAGTTTGAAACAGCGACTCCTGTGAAGCATTCTCCTGGAGGAATTCCTGGACTGGAAAGGCCAGTCCTGCCAGTTGAACCTTGCAAGCAAAGGTTAGATGGAGGATTCTGAGAGCTGTTCTGCCACGGATGAGATATAGACCTTCCCGTGGCAGCAGTTTGATTCCCAGGTGCACATTCAGAGGACCTTGCATCGGGCCATCCATCTCTCCCAGTATGCCTTGGATATGCACTAAAGTCCATAAGAAAGCCTCCAGCTCTGCCGCTATTATCTGCCATTGCAAGAACCAAATGGTGAATTATAGACTCAAGATGGAAAGTTTAACTATGACAGTAGCAGAAAGCAAATTAAAAGGGTGTTGAAAATGGCATTTTCAGGTAATGTCTCACCAAACATAGTGGGAGAGAATCGGCCATAGCGAGAGGACAACACTGATCCAGGTGGTGGCTTCCTCCGTCGCTCATTATGGCCAGCAAGACGCCTGCGGCAACTTCGTTTTCCTTGGTCAAATTCAGGAAGCAGATGAAATCTGGGTACAGACTAACAAAGCTATTAGTACTGACAATGATAGGAAAACACCACCACCGCCTATCTCTGCACAGGGAGATGAACAAAAATAAAAAGGATTCGGCATGACAGGATGTGCTTTTTGCAACACATTGAAACTGGGATTAGTAGCATTTAAAGACTCCTTTCCTGTCAGTCGAATTCTAAATGTGTGAACCAAACAGACACACACCTTCTATCCTACTAAGCCAAATTGCTGCACCTTAGTTTAGAGGTATCCCATAAACTTGGCAAAGATTTTGCAAGTACAGACCAACCACAGTTACAAGCATCTTTCAAAACATAGATTCTGATTATCACACACATCATGTTGCCCTTATCAATCAAGATTCCCAACTATATCAAACTACATATAGCTATAGAACAAACAGAATTTGATATCAAAAATGGAATCCCCAGAACTAGTCACAAACATGACTTGGTCTAGCAAAACCAAAAATTGTCATAATTTAATGCTTATGAAATATGATGAATACCCAATGACATTAGCAAGAGCTAGACCTAATCTTAATTTCAAGATGCTTTCAAACGTTAGATTCAAGCACATCTGGACTATAAATAGCATAAATACAAGCTCTCAGACAGAACTCGAACTTCTGCAGCTCAGCAGGCCTAACAAACTGTAGTACAGGTCCTAGTTAGAACACACAACAAAAGGCCTTAAGCTCTACTCAGAGGAAAGACTTCAAAATCAGAAAGCAATTATAGATAGAGCAGCATATTAACATGCATTTTGAGCTTCACCTGGATGATTCTTACGAGTTGGAAACCAATTTCTGTTTCATATTTCACTCGTTTGCAACATTTTTGCCCCTAACAATTCTATCCAAGGAAACCCTCAAAGTCTTTCTGCTCACAGAAGTTGGACATAATGTGCTTTCAAGGAAAGAGAGACTGGATAGATACAGCAAATGACATCAATTCACACTATCGTGACCCTAAACTTTCATATTCACAAAGTCTCAAGGACAACAGATAACTTGGTGAAATAACTAGTTCAGAGTCCGCAGGCATCCTCCTCATAAATCATGTCATCAAGACCAAAATAATTTGAGGAATGGGTGAGAAATGTTTGTTTGCACTTTAAAAAGAAGACAGAAGCATAAACATCATCACATCCAGCTGGTTTTGTGAATTTTTCTTGCATTTTCTGCCAATAAGAAGAAGCTCAATAGCTTTAAGTCCAAAAGTCCCTAACCAAAAATGTATTTTCTGTTACCACAACAAATGCCCTAAACCAAAACAAGAAAACCGAAGAATTAAACAACAAAATCAATTCCAGAAATAGAATTAGACCTCTTCATCTATTTATTGGCTTTCCTGTCTCTTATAAAAGAACCATTTATCATTTATGGATGCACCGTGTTCAGAAATAGAATACTTGACTAAACTCACAGAAAAGTAACTATGGAAACGCTACATTAAACACAATAGTACGTACTTTTAGCCAGAATAATCTTTGCTCCATTACAGACATCCAAAAAAAAATCCACTAGGAAAATCCAACAAAACTACCAATATTGAAGAACTTCTACAGTTAAATAACCAATTTGGACGCCTAGTACATCCAAAAGCCGACCAAAGAATAAAAATTTTCTTTAAATTTAAAAGGTCCAAAAGCCCATCACAATCAACACCTACAAACTTGTAAATAACTACCTAGGATGACAACAAAATGACTAAACGAGAAAAAACTACCTAAAAGACAATGAAAGCTATCATTTAATCATGAAAAGCAGCTAATACAACTAAATTCAATCAACATAATATAAAACCTGGCTACCTTAAGAAACTGAGACGTTATCTACCACAACATGAAGATAAACTATTCACAAATTCATGTGAATAATTCTTAGTTTTTTCAACAAATAATTGTCTTCAAAAAAAGATAGAAAGATACATTCAATAAAAAATTCACCAAGTCCATCAACAATAGAGTAAAACAAAACTCCATAGCTAGAAAAAAATACAAAAACAACACCCCACCTAAAAAAGAAAAAAAATTCATCCCTACAAACGGTCAGAATAAAAAAATAAAAAATAAAAAAGGAAAGGAAAGAAAAGAAAGAAACTTTAACAGACTGACCTGCTGCATTGCTGACAAAATCTTTGCTCCAAACCAGCAACAATAACTCTAGGAGACTTAGAATGCATACCACAAACTTTGTGCCTCGAATAGTAAGCCTTAGCATCACTCAGATCTACTTTGCACCCTTCAACTTGACACCTCGGTGGCTGCTGCTGCTGCCCACCCTGACCCTTCCTGGCAGATGACCCAGACCCGGACCTGAACTCAGAACCAGATGATGATGACCCAGTTCCACCCTTAGCTAGAGCAGTACCAACTCCCACATGATCCTCAAAGTAAATCTTTCTACCAAATTTCAACCCATTAACTGGCTCAGTTGGTGGAGAAGTTGCATTGGAAGTAGCTGAATCAGTCAAAGAGCCTGAACCCATTTCCATTAGTAATGCCTAGAGTTCCTCCATGGTGTAGTGGGTCATTGAAGAATGTTTTTGTGGTTTAAGAAAGGAAAGGAAGAGATGGAAGATAGTAGTCCTAGTCGAAAGAAAGATATGGGGTTTAGTTTAGTTTTTTAAGATAAGAGAGAGATAAAGAGAGAATAAAAGTAGTGAAAAGAAGGCATTTGACAATGGCCCATGCCAGCAAAAAGAATACTGTAGGACACTGACTGACTGACTTGAGACTGGAGAGTCTCTCTCTGCAAGTGTGTGTCTGTCCAAAATAATGGAGAAAAAGCAGGGAGAGAGAGAGAGAGAGGGGGGTACTTGTCGAGGGGTTCTACTTCTAGGGAGCTTTTGGTTTACAGAAGGTAACTAAACTCCAACTGTCGTTTTATACATAGGTGTCCTTTTTCTTTGCTTTTCTTGATTGCAACTGTTGTTTTCTTTTGTCTGTTAATAGAGATTCGGGTATGGAAATGACCTAAACTGAAATGGTTGCTTTCATGCTGAAGCTTTTTCTTGCCTATCCAATGGTGCTTCCCTTTATTTTATATTTACACATGTATTTACGCATGTATCTAGTATATAATTCAAAGCTAAAATTCTAACATGTTAAAAGGGAAGAGTGATGACTTGCAAAAGGAAAATTTTGTATCAAATATATAACGAATAGAAATATAAAATAAACAACCAAAAAGTTTAACTAAGTTATCGCTATTGGCATTTGATTGTGTTCCTTATACATTCCATAAAAAAAATCGTTGCATATAACATTATTCTAAGGGAAATTATTTTAATTTGTACATTCTTTTAGTTGCAGTCTTGGAAATCAATTTATTTATCACTAAACTAATAACTTACTAATAATTGTAGTCTTTAATATGTGAATAGAAATCTAATTATTTTTATTTTGTCCTTAAATAGATGATCATTAACTTGTTTACTACTAGACTAATAACTTGTTGGTAGTTACAGTCTTTAATATATTGATATAAATCTAATTTTTTTCATTTTATCCTTAAATATAAGATTATTCTACAACCCATCCTTTTATAAAATATTCTTAACGTGATTGACTAAACTATTTAGCATGAGAAATTCCAATTTTAAGAAAAAGTTATTGAATGTTATATGTAATATGTTTCTTCATTAGCTAAAATCAAGACGTTAATTACAGACTAAAATCAAGGTACTGATTGCAAGATAAAATCAATCATTGACTTAAGGCTCAAAACATACAAGTAAAAGATTTATGAAGATTATACTAGTACATGTTTAATATGGTAGAGATTTAAGAGATATAAAGAGATTTTCACATTTAATACTCCTTTTCAAGTTGGAATATGAAGACCGTAAATGCTCAACTTATCTAATAGAGTTTGAAATCGATCATGACTAAGGGCTATCATAAAAATATCTACGAGCCGCATTTTCGTGGGCATCATCGGCAATATAAAGCGATGCTTGATTATCATAACATGTGACCACCGGTTGTGAGTTAGAAATGGTAAGATCGGATAGTAAAGCACGAAGTGATAAAAGCTCACTTGCAATAGCTTTACTTGGCGATTCCTCTATTTAAAAAAAAAAAAAAAAAAAAAAAAAAAAACCAATAAGCAAATGACAGTTTCTCCATCATCGGTAGAGGTCGAATATCGCTCCATAGCAGTTATTACAAGTGAGTTTTATGGCTTCGTGCTTTACTATTCGATCTTACTATTTCTCACTCATGACCAATCATTGGTCATGAGTGAGAAATAGTAAGATCGATAGTAAAGCACGAAGCCATAAAACTCACTTGTAACAACTGCTATGGAGCGATATTCGACCTCTACCGATGATGGAGAAACTGTCATTTGCTTAAAAAGGAGAGAATCACCAAGTAAAATGATGTATCCGGTGGTGACGAGTCATCGAATATGCTCGCCCAATCAACATCACATAAAGCTTGCAAACAAAGATTGCTAGAGGATAATAAAAATATACCTCATCTTGGGGTGGATTTTAAGTATCAAAAGACTCTTATGGTTGCATCTAAATGACCTTGACAAAAAATTTGCATAAATTGACTCAAAATATGAATTCATATATGGTATTAGTTAAGTAGATAAGATGACCAATTAACCTTCGATATTGATCTACATTAGGTATAGAGAGGCTATAATCAAAGGAAAGACGGTGTTGTTATTCGTAAGGAAAGAACTAGATTTTGAGTCAAGCATTCCACTTTAAAAAGAATGTCCGATGTGTATTTTTATTGGCATAAAAATATCTCATCGCGAGAGTGATCAACCTCAATACCAAAAAAAAAAACTTAAAAGAGCCCAAATCCTTAATATAAAAACAAGTACAAAGATAAGTTTTGAGTGCTTAGTAAAGAGAAAAATCATTCTCTTCTATAATTAAATCATCAATATAAACAAGAATTACAACAAAAATGGGATCCACAAATAAAAAAAGAGTTAAGAATTATCTTTGGATTGACGAAAGCCAAAATAAAGTAAACTTGCTAAAAAATTTAAGAACTACAAGAGGCTTGTTTCGGACCATACAAGGATTTATAAAGGCATCAAACATAAATATCACCGGGTTTAAGATACCCTAAAGGTTAAGACATAAACACTTCTTCGTAAAGTTCACCATAAAAAAACATATTGTGCTTCACGAAGAAATGCATTGTGCATGTCTAATTTGTGAAGTTCCCACCCTTTAACTACTACAACTATAAGTAAGCACCTACTAGTGATGAGTTTAGCAACTAGTGCCATCCGTATGATATTTGATCTTATACATCTACTTGAAACCTATTGTCTTTTTTTTATTTTAATGGAATAGGTTTCAATTGTCCAAGTTTTATTTATCTCCAAAGCTGTAATTTTACATGTCATTACATCTTACCATTGTGATTCTTTCATAGCACTGTGAAAAGGTTTTATGATTAGCTTTACTATTGATGGCTGCTAAGAATACAACATGAGAGGGAATAAAAGAGAGTATGAAAAATAATTTAAAAAGAGGATGATGAGTACTCGATAAGATTAAGTTGGTAAATGGTGAACTCATCCTAAGAAATTGGTAAATAAAATCTTGAAGATGTCTAGAGGATGATGTTCTATTTGAGGACATGATATCGATTCCGGTTCAAAAGAAAGGCTTGATGGTGTTTAGTCGTGTCTTTTAGATTTTATTATTTATTTAAGTGAGAAGATGTCATGTTATTTCTAGGACTAGAAGGATGGTTGTTATCTAAAATACTCATAGCCAACCAGTCATCAATAATAAGCAATAATATGAAACCAAGTCATTGATGAATGTCCATTGGTATTTTTTTGTTTAAGATGAAAAGAAAAATGATTTTCATAGAAAATGACATCTCGTGAGGTCAAAATTTTTCCGGACTCAAGATCATAAATGCAATATGCTTTCGACTATAAGGACAACCAATAAAAACACAAGGCTTACCATAAGTACTAAATTTATCTTTTGGTTTAGGTTCACGACTATAACAAAGACATCCAAATACTTTCAAATGAGAGTGTGAAGGTTACTTAGAAAATAAAATTTTATATGGTGATTTCCCAAACAATAATGGTGTAGGCATATAGTTTGTTAAATAACCAACTGTTAGGACACACTTACCTTAAATTTGATAGGTAGATTCACTTGAAAACACAAACCATGACTAACTTCTAAAAGATAGTTATACTTATGCTTAACAACTCTATTTAGTCATGGAGTGTATGCATAAGACAATTGATTTATAATGTCATGTTATTGAAAAAGGATTGCATTTGATATAAAATCATTTCTATTATCACTCGTAACATATTTAATAAAGTAGTTAAATTGAGTCTTCACTATGGAATAAAAAATGGTTAAAAAAATAATAAGTATCATATTTATGATTTAGAAGAAAAAATCAAGTTGCATAAGAAAAATTGTCAACAATGCTAAAAAAAATAAAAATTGGCACCTAAAAAAAAAAATTTATATGGCCCCCTAAATATTATAGTGAATCAAATGAAGTAGAAACTAGGATTTATAGAAACTTAAAAGAAAGCACTTTGAGTTTGTTTGGCTTGATGACACACATTATAGCGAGTTTTCAAGATCTTTAAAGAAAGAAACAAAAAATTGATGAATAAGAGACAAACACTCAAAAGACAAGTGTCCTAGACGTTGATGCCAAAGATTTATGTTTGGGTTTGAGTAGTTACATCAGCAAAGGAAACTTGAAGCCCATGAAAATAATAGACACCATCTCATTGTTCTTCGATTCTAATTCGCCTTCTCATGGCTAAGTCTTGCAAGATGCAAAAGGTAGAAAAAGAACGACATAATTTGAATTTTTGGTTAATTTGCTTATGGAAAAAAGGTTGCAAGTAAAGGATGAAACATATAAAACATTATTCAAAACATGGTTTTTAGAAAGCGAAACATAACCTCCTTCAATAGATAAATTTGATCAATTAGGCAATCTAACAGGTAAAAGAGAACCACAAGACTTTAAGTCGAGTATGATAGATTTGTTAGGAAATAAAAGCCCTACTATCAAAAACCCAATCATGATTCTCATTGGAAGAGTGTGTTATCTTACTAGTAAAATTGGCTAAAGAACTTTGTTTTTTAGGATTCAAAAAGGAGAAAATTTGATGTGCTCCTTTGTGAAACCAATAATAAGAGAAGCATAAAAAATTTTGGATTGGGTATCTTTCATCCATGGGTGTCAAAAATAAAAAGAAATTAGTTTCAATAAATATCGAAGAGATAGAAACAAAGGAACCTTAGAAACTCGATACCATGAAAAAAATATTATTGAAAGGTATATGTAATATGTTTATTCATCCTTTGTATATATTGATTACAAACTAAAATCAAGGTACCGATTACAAAGTAAAATAAAGGTATTGACTAAAAGATAAAATCAATCCTTGACTTGAAACACATAATATACAAATAAAATATTTATAAAGATTATACTTGGTACACATTTG